GCATCGATCCCATCAGCGAGCCCGAGCTCCTGTGGCTGGCCCGGGAGGGCATCGCCGCCCCTATGCCTCCCGAGTGGAAGCCTTGGTGAGTGAGACAGAGGCTGCTGGGGAGAGGAGCCCCGGAAACACACTTGGAGCGGTGTTTTATTTGGCAGAGAATGTCAAAGGCAATCATGTTTTCTGTGGAGGCTGTGGTGCTACAGTCTTTTCTCTGGGTTTCGTGTTTTCCTGTGATTAGAGTGCAGGATGTTGTGAGGGATTGTTAGTGAAGCACTAGAGGGACATGCAGTCCCAGCAGCGAGCGCAATGGATCAGGGCGTGTTTGGCGGTTACGTAGTTGTCTTGGGAACTAATCAAGGGTGAAGGTCTGCTCTTGACACCTCGAGGTGGAGTTGCATAGCAACCATGTTTTGCTCCGACGACTTGTCAGCTGCATCGTGTCTAAATAATATATTACAACACACTTCTAACAGGAATATCAGGTATATGTTATATTTCATCAATTCCACAAAGGGTGTTAAGGGTTTGTGTTGATTCATGAAGCCTTTTCTTCGCTATAGTTTATTCCACTATTGGGCCAAATGTTCCACCATCTCTGCTCTGTGTGTAGTCGACTGATAAGCTGATATAAAATAGGATACTCTAAAAGCACAAGTCTGTCAAACTCGCGGCCCGCGGGCCAAATCCGGCCCGCCCGGGCGTCCAGTGCGGCCCGCCGCGGGAGTCTGGACTTTGCTATTGTTGTGAGATGGCAATGTGACCGCCCCCCCGCCCCCTCTCCTCTCTCCCCTCCCCGTGCAGCCAGGATGTGACCGGGGACATATACTATTTCAACTTCTCCTCGGGCCAGTCCACCTGGGACCACCCCTGCGACGAGCACTACCGCCGCCTGGTGGAGCAGGAGCGTGAGCGCGGCCAGCTGGCGGCCGCCGCGGGAGGGGCGTGGGGGAAAAAGGACAAGAAGAAGAAGAAAGAAAAGAAGGAGAAGAAAGAGAAGAAGAAGAAGAAGGAGCCGCTCAAGACTCCTGGAGTGAGTGGTTGCTATATTTGTCCACAGTTTTTGTCACCGTGGACGATTTTGACCAAAAAACACGCAATACAGCCAAAGCTTTCTTCTAGACTGGATTGGCTTTACAAATACTTCATATTTCATTAATACCATTAAATGATGGGTCAGAGATCCCTAATCCACTTTATTTAAGTGTTTCTGATTGAGCGCTCTTGGGCTAGGTGCTAACTTTGTTTCTCGTCAGGCCCTGAGTTCAGCGCTGGGAGCCCTCCCACCCCCGCTCGGCGGCCTGGCTCCTCTGAGAGCTCTGGACGCCCCAGGACCAGGTCTGACGCCCGGGTCTACTCCCGCTCTCCGCCGGCCCCTCGGCAGCTCTGGCGGGCTGGAGCCCCTTAAGACGTCCCTCGGGGTACACTGATGACGCCCTCTGGAACCTTTTTTGGCCTCTCCCGAACCATCGCACCATCCAGTACACTTTAATAAGTATCTCCCTCTGCCAGGCCCCTCGGAGCAGCGCAGCTGGCGGTATTTTGGGCAGCCGGCGGGACGAGAGGGTCTCTCTCACTCTGCCCGGCTTCGATGACGACGATGGGAATATCTCAGAAAACGAGGTGCAGTTAAACCCAAGCGATGATGCAAATTGGAGGTTTTAGCACTTTGTTGCTCTCAGATGTCAAACCAGACATTGTTCCTTTTTCAGCCGAGTCCTCCTGCTTCAGACAGATTATTTAAGAACCTTCATCTGAACCTGGATGCCCTCGGAGGAGGCCTGCAGTACGAGGTAGACGGGATCCTTGGCTTCGAACACCACTGATTCTATTCCACATCTTCCTCAAACTGACAAACTGACACATTTTAGGCCGACGAATACCTTGAATAGAAATAACAGTGGCTGCCGTCCGGAGAGGCTTCTGTCTTTGACGAGATGGAATTCATTTTGATTCCAGAAGGTTGAAGCACCTTTTAGGCACACGTGTTTTTTTCTTATTGAGTGCTTTATCAGTTCCTGTGTAAAGTTCTATATATATATATATATATATATATATATATATATATATATATATATACATATGTTTGTGTGCGTGCGCGTGCAATAGGACAGTGAAGCCAGTGGTGGAGCTCCAGCTGAGGAGAGGACAGACCCGGAGCTGCAGGACTTGGCGTTATCTGGCGATCTCAGCCCTGAACCGCCCTCCCAACAGGTAGAAACACACACACACACACACATTGTTTTTCCTGTGGTTGTTTAACCAATCAACGCTACAAGCTGAATCATCTATTTTTTGTGTATTGCCGCCATTCATTGGGCTTTTCTCGTTGTCTCATGTAACTGTGATGCTAAATCCTCTGCTATTCCTCCTCTCTGCCTGGTGTGACCTCTTTGACCTTTAAAACCTCTGACCTTTGTGCCGTGCCCTGGGACGTGTTGGTGTAGCTGCTGTGCTGCTGGGATCTGTCCTACGGGCACGGCTGTCACTGTGTCTTCCTCTTTGTCCTGCTGTCTTCCTACTGTCACTGTTACTGCTTCGCTGTCTGATGCACGGAGAGAGACATAGACGCAGAGATACATACATAGATGTAAACATAGATATGTAGATAGATAGAAAATGATATTGAATTAACGTAACTAAACAATAGTGGAAAGATTTAACCAAACAAACAACAGAGTTATAGTTGTGTGATTTATTGGACAAGAGGGTATTTTTTTTTTTTTGTAACTATATATTAGGAGCATTGCTGTCAAAACAATAAATAATGATTCCATTCAATGATTTCATGGACACAGTCCCGGAACAAGGATTTGTCTGTTTTCCTGTACAGAAATGCATGTTTTCATCCTTTCTTTTGTGTTGTCTAACAGCCCCCATTTTGTCGGGTTTGCATGCGGCTGTGTTAAGATCTTTTTGTCTCCCCCCTTCCCTCACCTGCCCTCCTCCGTCCTTTCTCTCCCCCGTGTCTCTGCACGCCTTCCTCTCCGCCTCTGTCTGCGACGGACGGACGGACTGTCCCTCCTCTTCCCCGCCGCCAAGGACTCTCTGAGGCGCCTCCACCTGTCCTCACTGGCGGGGCGGAGAAACCACGTCAGTCAGGAGGCGGCACGTCCTAAACGCTCTGCCGGGCGGGGGGCGGCGGAGGAGATAAACAAGGTGGTGGAGGAGGGGCAGGGGGAGGGCGAGGAAAAGAAGGGAGAGGATGAAGGGGGAGGGGAAGAGGAGGGAGGGACGGAGGGGAAAGGAGAGGAAGGAGACGAGCTGGGAGATGGAGAGGCGCTCGAAGAGGAGGCAGATGGGAGAAGAGGCAAAGAGGAGGGGGATGAGAGGGAGGAGGAGCAGAGAGGAAGTAAAAGGTCTATAGAAAGCAGGAAGGGAGAGGGGGAAGTAGAGGTAGAGGAGGACAGAGGAGGGCAAGTGGAGTTCGACGATGATAGTTGGGCGGAGGAGGAGGCGAAAGAAGAGTTGGGAGCAGCCGGAGAAAAAGTAGTGAAGAAAGGCTCCAAAGGTGAGGAGGAGGACAAAGTTGACAAAGAGAGTGATGAGCTCGAGGGAAGCGTTGAAGAAGAAGGGCTGAGTGACGGCGAGGAGGAAGAGGAGGAGGAGGCGGAGATGCATACCGAGGGAGAGAAAGAGCAGGAAAAGGAGGAAGAGGAGGGGGAGATGGACGAGGCTCTGGAGAGATGCTCCCTGAGCCAGAGGAGACTGACGGAGAGCGACGAGGAGGTGATAGAGAGGTGTGTACAGAGCGAAGGAGGGGAAACAGAGGGGGAGGGGCTAGAGGGGGACGACGAATCGGAGGCATCGGAGAGCGAGCGAGAGGTGGAGGAGGCTTCCGGGGCCGCGCCGAGCGGGAAGACGAAGCAGAGTGACCAAAAGAGACAACCTCTCGCAGGCGAGATGGAGACTGTGAGAAAGAAATGCCCCCCTCCTGCCGAGGTAGGGTTTAGGTGTTGCCTCTGTGTGTGCCTACAACCCCCCCCCTCCTTCCTTTTCCTCCCTTACATCCACTACCTGACCCCCGATAAGGGAGGGAGGTGCTGCTTCTGACGTCCGCGTGTGCTCCTTCCCAGCGTGCCCCCATGTTTATAGTGTTTGCTGCTGGATTTCCTTCATTCAGAACCGCGCGCCTCTCGTTGCAGGAGTCCGACGCCAGCGGGAACGGCGAGGAGGCGTCACCCTCCGCGGAGGTCAAGGTGCTCCAGTCATGCAGAGAATATTCATTCGCCGCCGTTCATTCGTTTCGGTGGTTTACCTGTTTCATGGTCCATGTGTCCCGAAGGTGAAGGAGAAGGTTCTGGACATCAACGACCTGTTCGGCACCGTCAGTCCTCTGGAGGGAGAAGACAAAAAGAAGAAGAAGGAGGAGGAAGAGGAGGGTGGATGGGGGGAAAAGATTAAGAAGGCCGAGGATGCCAAGAGGTTGGTTGTTGTTTTGAATGTTGTGGTTAAACAAGTGCAGGAAGTCCGTTTTTTGTCATCTTTTCCCATCAGAAGCGTTTTTACAAGAGTCCAAAGTCTAAAGGACATTTGTTTGGTTGAAACAGGAATCTGCTTTGTCAAAATATTTTTCCTATATTTTTCCTTTAACCTCGTCTTCGTATCACCACCTTTTCTCCCTCTTCAGGCATTTGCAGGCCCCTCTGAAAGTAAACCGACTGGTCCTCCACCAGTCCAGCGCTTCGGCCTCTCTCTCCCTCTCTGAGCAAGACGTCGAGCTGCGTCCGAAACCCGAAAGCCTCGGCGCGTCTCTGCCGCTGCAGAGGCCCGAGACCTCCAGAGGGCGGCTGGTCCGCACCTCCGGCGGCCAACTCGACGAGACGGAACTGCGCCTGCAAAGCCAGGAGGACTCACTGGGAGGAGATCCAAGCTGGAGGATCCAGGAGGAGGGGGAGAGGGAGGAAAAGGAAGAGGAGAGGAAGAGGACAGAGAGAGAGGAAGCGGAGAGGAAAAAGGCACAGAGAGAGGAGGAGGAGGAGAGGAGGAAGGCGGAGAGCGAGGAGGAGAGGAAGCGAGAAGAGGAAGAGTTGAGGAAGAGGGCGGAGAGAGAGGAAAGGAGTTTGAGGGAGAGGAAGGAGGAGAGGGAGAGGGGCGAGGCCGATCGAGATGCGGCGGAGGAGAGGGAGCGTGTGACCACGGAGAAGAAGAGTAGAATGCTCCTCCTCCGAGAGGACCTGAGGAGAGAAGAAGAGGAGGAGGAGAGGAAGCTGAAGGAGGAGAGCGCGGAGAGGCTGAGGTGGGCATAGAAAATTAAACCCCGTTAAAGCATGAACAATGTCCTAATCCAGGAATGCACGTGAATGTCTGCCCAGGGCTCTGCGTCAGCGTCTCCTTTCTGAGAGGAGGGAGGAGGAGGCCAGGCTGAACGGGGAGTCTGACAGGGCGCTGGAGGAGCTCAGAGGCTCCGCCCGGCAGGAGGCCAAGAGGCAGCAGCGCCAACTCAGGTCAGAAAACCCCCCCCAAAACCAGCGTGCAGACGGAAGCAAAGCGAGGCTTTCTAGAACACGAGGCCACTGATCTCAGATCAGTCCGCGGTGGTAACCGCGGCGTGTGTGCGGTGTGCTCAGGGAGGAGAACGAGGACGCGCTGGAGAAGCTGCGCGCCGCTCTGGAGGAGGAGCGGGCGGCAGAGCGCGGCCGACTGGAGGCCCAGAAGAGGCGGGACTCTGAGCGCCTGAGGGCGGAGTCGGAGGAGGAGCTGCAGGCGGAGAGGAGCAGGCTCCGGGGAGAAAGGGAGGAGAAGCTGAAGCACGAGGTGAACGGCGGCCATGTTTTTTTTACGATTTCAAAATGATATTTCTGTTCTGTAAACCAACGAGCTCTGATACACAAAAAGCTCAACAATCATCAGTTTTAAAATCAACGTAGGCTTAGATAAAATTTATTAAGCAATCAAAGCTCTTGACCTTTGACCTATTAACCTGGATACCAGTTTTTATGAACTCTTCTTCTGTTGACTTGCCCTCCTGGCTCTTTGTTGAGGTTCACTTTCAGTCCACATTCTGTCTGCTTGTTTTAGCAAACAGCAAAAGCACAAATCGCTGATGATGTGGCCATCAGGTGTTTTAACATTTCTACAAATCCACATAAAATATGCTCTTAAAACCCGTTTTAGAGGTCAGATGTTGGTGGAACTGTGTAGTTGTTGGTGACTATTGGTACATGTGATTTCAGGAATGACGTTACAGGATAAAACTACAGTTTGTGTGGACATTGAGACTGTTAATGTGTCGTGTTTGTTCCGTCCTGTGTTACGTGGCGCCGTTGGACTCGAGGGACTCGGACTAACGATCCGTCCATGTGTGTTTGTCTGACTTCTCTGTATAAAGGTCAAACTCACAGATAGGAGGAGGGAACTCATGAGTCCACGACCTGAACATCAACTGGCAGAGTACCACCGAGAGGTCAGGGGACATGCGCGCGCACGCACACACACACACACACACACACAGCCCAGAATTAAATCATCTTTTCTTTCATTTCACTGGGATAAAACTTTCAGCTTGGCGACGTTCTCCAGGAGGTGCGAGAGGAAGTGCAGCGCGATCACGAGAGGAAGCTGGAGCAGCTGCGGGAGGAGCACAGGCGGGAGATGAACAGCATCCGAGAGAAACACCTCGACGAGGTCCGACGCCGTTTACCTTCCACATGCACATCCTCCAGTGCACGTTTCCATGAATGTGCCCTCATTTTGTTAGCAGCAGATGAACACACATGGTGAATACGTGTGTGTTTGTGTGTGTGTGTGTTCCAGGAGACCGCTGAGAGGGCGCGCTCGCTCTCTACTCTGCAGGAGGAGAGAGAGCAGCTCCGGGCCTCGCACGCCGTCCAGCTGGAGAAACTCCGGATGCAGCTCGACGCTCAGATACAAAAGAAGCAGCTGACGCACTCGCGCAGGGTGAGGCCTAATATTCTCAAAGAAGATCCCCAACTGTGCTTTTATAACACTTCAGTCTTCAGCATGTGGACTGAAGTCATATAACCGAGGTGGAACAAAGGAAAACTCATCCCGATAGAATGACGTCTCCTTTCTTCTGTCAGGAGTCCGAGCTGGACGACATGGCAGATCAGATGGAGCTGAGAGCCAAAGAGCTGAAGAGCCAGGAGGCCATGCTGCAGACCAAGGTCTTCTACCCCACAGTGTATGTTCTGTTAGTCAGTAACACACCAACCTGAACCACAGGGACTGATGGCCTCTGTCTCTCATCAGGCAGCAGAGCTGAAGAGGAGGAAGAGGAAGCTCGGGGAGGACGAGGAGGAAGTGGACAGGAAGTTAGAGGTGGGACACTTTTTCTGCATGAAAGGAGAGATCAGTTAAACCGACTCGTCCATTCATCAACCGCCTTTTTCCCCACCCGCATGTGTGTGTGTGTGTGTGTGTGTGTGTCCAGGCCTTCCCCCGGCTGGTCCAGGAGAGGGACCAGCTGACGGAGGAGCTGGAGAGGGCGAGGGAGGAGAAACATCAGGCCAGAGAACTTATCCAGCGGGCGCGGGAGGAGAGAAGCGAGGCCAAGGAGGAGGGGGCGAAGCTGAGGGGAGAGCGAGACAAAGCCAGGGAAGAGAGCAGGAGGCTAAAGGAGGACAAGGCACGACTGGAGAGCAAGGTGGCGCTGCTGCAGGAGCGATGCGAGCGCCTCAGTCGCAGAGTCAGGTACAGTTTCCTGTAAAGGACAACCCGCACTTCCTGTTCACTTTTAACCAATCACAGGAGTCCACTGGGAAGAATGCCCGAAGAGTGTTTTTCCGCGCTGGATTTGAAAAGAGTTTCATGGTTTCATTTTGTCCGATCAGCGAGCTGGAGCAAAGCGAGGCGGCGAGCGCCTCCACCAGGCCGGAAGCGAAACAGGAGAAGAAGAAGGCAGAGAAAGCGGAGGCGACGGCGCCCTCCGTTGACAGGAGAGACTCATCGCTACACGTGGAGGACCTGGACGACCTGCCGCTCTCCCCTGTACCCGACAGCCTCAGCGGCACGGACGAGTAAGAGAGAGAGAGAGACATGTGGAGGACTGAGAATACCTTCGGGCCTGTAGAAGCAGGATGTTTTGTTATTTACAGCATACAGATCTAATATCTAATATAGGGTTGTGGCAGGGGGAAGAGCGGGTGTGCTGGGAACCGCAAGGTTGGTGGTTCGAGTCCCGGCTGCACCATGTCTCAAGTCGAAGTGTCCCTGAGCAAGACACCTAACCCCTAATTGCTCCCTGGGCAAAATGTAAAAAGCCATGGGTTACAAATGTAATGTAAGTCGCTTTGGATAAAAGCGTCAGCTAAATGACCTGTAATGTAATGTAATATAAAGGCAGTTTTAGGCCTTTGAGCAATACTTTTTGCCAATGCAACTATATTTCTACATTTATGTGATGGTAACACGTAGTGCTTATTGATGATAGTTAGAGTGATGTCCTAACTACTAATACATGTATTTTATTCATAGAGAGAGATGAGAAGTTATATAAAATAATCTGCTGAATTCAAACCCTGGAAAGGGTCAATAGTCCCTCTGGAACACTTGAGTGTTTGGACCAGCGTTGTGATGATAATTCTGCTTTTGATAAGAACATTCATGCTTCAGAACTCCTCGTCGCTGTGTGTCCAGCTTCCAACGCTACATCTCCTCACATGGAGCCTCCATCCAAAAAACCAAACACTTCCTGGAGAAGGAGAGCGGCCGGCTGATGGAGAGACAGGCGGCCCTGGAGGCGTTCCGGACCGGCTCCTCCCAGGACGGAGGGGCGACCGAGGAGGTGATTAGAACCCTCCAGCATGTAGGAAGGAAGGAGCCAAATAAAAGCGGGACGTAACGACAGATCTTCCCTCTTCTCTCGCTCCGTCAGGAGGCCAGACGTGTGGTGGAGCGCCAGCAGGCGGTTCAGAGAGGAAACGCTCTCCTGCGGAGGAAGGAGGAGCAACTCCAGCAGCTGGAGAGCTCCTTAGCTGACGAGGTCGGGAGGAAGGCGCCCCGTCAAGAGCTTTTATACTTTCAGTGACCGCATGAGGTCAACCAGCACCGTCAGGTGTAGCTGATGGTGGCAGTAATGCTTAAAACAAGTCTATGTACAGATACATGTACAAATACGGCATTTCGGCGCGATCGAGTAATTCAGGATGACAGAAAACTGTTTAACCAAACTCTTCATTGAGCTTTTTAAAGGATGAATCCAATGAAGAGTATTAAGACTATTAACCACGCGTCGTCTCGTCTATTCAGACGTTTTTCGAGGATCTGTCTCGTCTGGCGGGAGAGAAGAAGGTGACCTTCGATGTGACTGAATCGGACCTCAGCAGCACTTTGGACCCACCGGACAGGACGGGTAACACCTATTATTCAATCTCATTACTCCTGTCATTCATTTCCTCTTGCCCGGTTATCGTTTCAGCTATATTTAGATATCCCCCCCCTCTCCCCCCACCTCCCCCCTCTCACTCGTCATCAGGTCATCCCACCGTCCCGGACAAAGTCCAGGAGTTGGCGGAGTCCCTGCAGCAGATCTCAGGCCAGCTCAACAGCGTCCTGAGTGCGTTGGGGTCACTGGCGCCGAGGCAGGACACCGCGACCTACGCCGCCTTTCCTCCGCCTCATCACCACTCCAGCCCGGCTGCCGCCTCCGCCTCCGCCGCGCACCAGATGCACACCCTGAGCTCCTCGGCTCCGCCTGCCCCCGTGAGGCTCTCGGAGCCGGCCTGGAACTGGGCGCCCCACGGCGGCTCCCCCCTCTTCAGCACCCCGCTCAGCAGCGGGTTCCGGGTCCCCGAGGACCTCATCAGCAGCCGATGGAGCCAGATGTTCCCCAGTAGGTCGACGGACGCCTCATCGAGTCATTTGTCTAAAAGGTTTCAATGGATTGGTCGTGACCGGTTTGTTCTGTCCTCCAGGAGCAGCCATGGAGCCGTTAGCCTCCAGCACCATGAGGCCGACGACGCCCTACTCATCTTTCGCTCCCGCTCGGTCGGTGCAGAAGTCGGCGGAGGTGGACGGCCAGAGGCTGCAGGGGCTGATAGACGGCAACAAGAGGTGGCTCGAGATGCGCAAGAAAGACAACAGCATGTATCCTTCCTTCTAACAAGTATTGTTTCATCTGCCAAAAAAGATGCACACAGTCTGGGTTTGAACCCCGTCTCGTTGGAGCTGTTATACACAGACGTGCTGATATGGTTTATCCAAGTGTTTTTTCTTTTTACGGTCTTTAACTCTTCCTCGCAGACCTCTGTTCACGCGTTATCGCGCTCCTCCAACCACCAGCGGCCTGGTCCAGCTGGGCTTGGACGACAACAATCAGATCAGGGTCTATCACTACTGAGGACGCCCCCGTCCGTCCTCCTACAGGCACAACGTCACGTTTACAGACTTGTTTTTTTAAATGGTGTCATTTACGTTGATGTCAGATGGGAAGATGAAGACAATCCCTGAGAAGCGTTTACTGCACTTAACGGTACTTCTGGAGGAAAACACTCGTCCACCCACGTGTCTACATGTCCCAAGTACTGCTCCGCTTGTGTTTTTGACACAAGACTTTTGTGACGTATTTTCTAATGTTCGGTTGTTTCTGTGAGGAATAGAAAATAGAATTGTTTGTAAAAATGGAGCCAAAACCCTTTTGTCATGAATTACTTACTCTTTATCCCACAGATGTTAACACATCATTGGCATTAAGCCATTGATTGAGCCAGTGAACAGGTAGAGGGGGAAAAAAAGTATTTTGTCCATATATATATATATATTTGTGTGTGTAAATGCCGTATTTTTCTATAAAATATTTTAATAAATAGACTTTTACATGTATATTTGTGCGTTTTGTTTGCTGTGTTATATTCACATGAGCCTCTTATACTTGCTGTCAATCAAGACGTTTGCGCAAATTCATTATGAAGATCCGATTCAAAGACAGAAGTCGCCGTCAGAATCTGAAAATGAAACCTTTATTCAGTAACCGCGCATTGCAATGTTTGACATTAAAATCACATTTCTTCTCCAGACAGTACAGTGCAGAAAATACCTTCCCACTGGGACCAGGCCCGTCAAGAAGTAAATACAATCATCATCATCATCATTCTCCAATGAGAAGGACGGCTATCTTGTGGATCTGACCAATCAGAGCACAGTATGTGACATGATTAGAACATTAAAAGGCCACCGACAGACTGGACAGAATTCATGTTCTCACATTTATGTTTGTAAACCCACACACACAGACGGCATATAAACAGCGTAAAAACATCTCAAAATGCATTGCTGACTTGTAGGTCAAATGTCGACAGTATAAAATAAGTTAATTTGTATATATATTTTTTGATTTATTTAGCAAGTGTGTATGTTGTCGCCTCAGGCACGAAGCAAACATCCATTACAGTTACATCGACGATGGCAGCAAGAGGACAGAACACGTCGGTGCCGCTCCGCCTCCACCGGGGCGCTTCACTGGCACAGGTGTGTCCATACAGGGGGATGGGAGGGGCTACCGCGCCACCCTGACTGGCTGCCTGGGAGGGGGGGGGCTACTGGCTGTGCATGTTGAGAACACACAAGGAGACGCAGAACGGAGAGAGATGAGGGTCGATAAGGCGGAGAGGAAGAGCCCGGCTCATCACAGGAGATCTCGCGCATCTAGAAGGCGAAGATCTTGTCCCTCTGGACGGTGTCGAGGTCGTCGTCCATGGTCAGGAGGACCTGGGAGGGAACCACAGGTAGGGGGGGGGGTTAGAGTTTCCTGGTTCCCAGTGCAACATTGTATTCAACTTTTTGATTCAATACGTCGCCATCCGATAGCCACGTCGAGGATTTTATTGTCCTGGCATGTATGATTTATTCTTTAGGATCCTACCAGGAAGGACCCGAACATGGCGATGGAGGAGAGGAAGTGCCAAATGTCGTGGTCGTCAAAGAACTGGAGCAGGATACAGTCCCTGTTGTGCTCACGAGACTCCGCCGGGGTTTTCTGCGCCAAGAGAGAAAAAAAAAAACAGACACAAAACACGTACGGTGAACTTACTGAGGTGGAACCTCAGAGCCAACGTGCGCTCTCACAGGCGGGAGGTTTGAAGGCGCTGCAAAGAATTCTACATCTACAATAGTTATGGAACAAAAACAACTGCTGGTCAAAACTGATTTATGGAGTTTTCCTCGATTATGGGTCAAGACGTACGTGTGTGTGTGTGTGTGTGTGTGTGTGTGTGTGTGTGTGTGGACTGACCTGCCAGGTGCTGAGACCCTGGAAGAAGAAATACAGTGCGAGGCCCCACACCACAGCTGTGAACAGAATAATCACCAACGGTAGACACTGGATCCTCTCGCCGCTCCGCAGCTAAAACACACACACACACACACACACACAAATGAGCTTCAGATTTTCTGCTTTAAAAGAAAGTCAAAGCGCGCGGACACACACACACGCACCTTCATAATGATGTAAAAGGCAAAGTAGAGCAGCAGGTTGCAGATGGCGATGGCCAACAGGTAGGAGGCGAAGTCATTGGGTCGCTCTATGAGGCCGTAGGCGGCTCTACGCAGAGCGAGCGGGAGGAAAACACACACACACACACACACACATTAAGTCATGGTGTTGTTCTGCACCGTTCACCCTTAGAAACACTCAGGTTTACTTACAGAGACCAGTTGACTATGTTCCCCATAACCAGCAGAACCATCCGGTCCTGTCAGACGAGGGAGGACACAGAGATTCCTTTACTGGACTTGGAATATATGTCTTGTATCAACTCAAGGAGACTCCTCCCATGTCGAAGCAGCTGCTTTCTGGGTTCTACTCACAATGTACATAGGTCCACTGCACTGCCGGATGCAATCCGTGTAGATGACGTTCACGATCCTGCGAAGGATCCCGGAGTCTGGCGCAAACATACACGGACGGACGTTAGCTACATACTTCCGCTGTATCGTGTTTATATTCCATTTTTATTCCAGCCCCTCTGACGAGATCTTACCAAGCCGCCACCGGCCCATGTAGTAGAGCTGCGTGCTGAGCAGCATGGTGGCCAGGATGTGGATCACCGAGAACACGATCCAGAACACGTTGTTTCCTTTCCCGAACACCTGCAAGCAGAACGCCACAAACGTTAGACAGTGTGCATGTGTGTGTGTGTGTGTGTGTGTACCACACGTACCACTCCCAGCACAGAGAAGAAGATGACCCCGGCCAGGCAGGCGTACGCAGTGTAAGCACTCGCGTTGATGTCCGGGTGTCTCTTCTGGTACAACTTCAACATGCACAGTCCGGCGATCATGTACATGAAGGAGGTGTCTGCGCAGGAACAATCATCACTCATCCATCTTTCATCATATTTGAGCAGAAAGTGTACTCTGTGACATCAAGCAACTTAAAAATTTGATGTAATCGCCAGAGGGAAGCTCCAGGAAACTTAACCATCCCGTTCAAAAGTCACCTCGGAGTGAAAGCTAGACCCTTAATCGTCAAATCCTCAACAATAGCTGTTGTCCATCATCTCAAAGAAAAGGGTGGAGTCCTACCGAACTGGAAGTTGGTGTAGTTGGGACAGACGTGGTAGCAGGCGCTCAGCAGGCCCTCCATCATCAGAGCCGTTCCCATGGCGTAGTACAGACCAAAGTGCTTTGGGATGCCACACTCCTGCAGGCCGGGACAGAGGAACATTCAACAAATCCGCATACTTATTGTAGTCCATCAAGAGGCAGGTGTGTGTGTGTGTGTGCGTCTTTACCAGCGCGTTGAGGTCGTTGCGGAGCAGAGCTCGCTGGTGGATGACGTCTCTTTTGAGGACGATAAGGAGGAAGAGGAGCCCCAGCAGCACGTAGCCCAGGTTACTGAGGATGTTGTTGAAGGCGCTGCGTGCGACAGGAAGTGCGTGACTACTACGTTAACAGCAGTTGCGTAACCAAAGACCCATCGAATGGACACGAGCCAACCACGTACCTCAGGGCCCCCATCGGGTGAGCACACAGGAAGTTGTAGTAGCAGATGTCCTGGTTTCCTGTGACGTTGACCACCTGAAGAACAGAGTCGCGTTAAACATCTTTTTATCAATCATAATAATAATCTAAAAACAAAATGTTACGTCTCCTGAACGCACCGTCTGGTAGGTGATGACCAGCTGGACGACCGGCAGCGCGTAGAACACAGCAATGGTAGCGATGTTCCTGCAGCGAAGGCAGCAATTAGATCGCTACGCCCATCTAAGGAATCTTTGTCATTGTGTCCTTCATTCGACTCTTTGTGATTTTCCCTTTTTCTCTGCAAAAAAAAAAAACTTCCTCACCAGAAGTAGATTTGGTATTTCTTGCTGAGGATCCTCTTGTCTTTGCGGGACAGGTCGGCCACGTATAGGAACTTCTGTAACACGGAAGGGAGGTTGTTACCCGTCATCGGGGGAGATAGAAGACGAAGCAGGAGCAACATCTAAAAAGAAAGACGCGAGAAAGGCGCGTACGAAGCGTACTTTGGTGCGGACGATGTTCTTGTCCGAGTCGATGTCGTCCAGCGTGTCGTAGTCGTCCTCCTCCACAGAGCTCAGAGACTCCAGCCGGCTGCGTCCAACACTGTCCAACGATCGCTCTGATGGAGCGGAGAGAGATGGAGGAGGTCATGAAGATTTTAAAAAAAGACCGTTGCTGTTTTTTCCGATGGTTGAAAGGTGTGTTTGAACACAACACACCTTTTGAAATAAGGTTACAATTTAAACAGAATTATCGGAGTAATTGTTGGTACTTTGATCTTTACACAATTTTCGCTGTTCATTTGCATTCAAACTGATTTAGTGTTCAGGCCACTTCCTGTCTCATTGCCGTTTGATTCACAAAGTGCTGATTGATTTCTGCTTTTTATCTTTATAATTAATATGCGGCAGCGTGTGTCACCGATGCAGATGGAAAATTGATGAACGCGATTGAGGATTGGCCGACGTTTGAAAACCTCCTGTCCTGATGAACAGAAGAATAACAGAGAGAAGCCGGTGAGGGACCGGCGCGACTCGCAGGGAGCCGCGTTCAGGCATTCTGCGAAGGCGCAGCGCTGGGACGGAAGAGACGGCGCGCGGCCTTACCAGCGTATCCGTAGATGTCGGTAGACGTGGCGCTGTCCGTGACGGCCTCCGAGCTGAGCGTGCTGCCGTTGTCGGCTGAGAAACCAAACAAAAGGCGATCGTTTTAGTTCACCGTCCACGGAGTCGCAGACTCGACTTTTTAAAGAGTGTCCAAAAACGTACCGAGCGAGCCGTATTCATAAGGTGAGGCTGGAATTTTCCCTGCAGGCACACACACACACACACACACACATTTAAAAAAAAGTAAGCATTGATAAACAAAACGCACATATAGAGACGAGCGATCCACTGCACAACAAAGCGCACAGTTGGTGCATGAACACAAAGAAGAGGGGAGACCACAACACATGCAGGAGTCCACTGTTCTTTTTTTTTTTCTGGCTCACACGCCTGATAAAAAAAGCCCAACACTTCTTTGTTGGAAGCAGTGTGAAGTGTTAGCGCACTGCAACTAACATGCACACGCTGGGAGGTCGTCTGCACGGTTCACCGTCACCTCCGGGATCTTCTCGTGACACCCCTGCGATCTTATCCTTGTGTTTGCATCTCTGTGATGTCAAAGCTTAACTAACAGTGTCGGCGCGTTCATTTCCCAGCCCTGCAGCCAAATCACAGCTCTTTTTAGAAGGGAGATCCAGTAGGTGAGTGAACGCGTGCAGAGCAAACCACAGACAAGTAAACGCAGCGGGAGAGACGGGAGTCACTGTGTCGTTGTACCATCTCCGTTCTTCCCGAGCAGAGAGGCTGCAGCCCACATTAGCATGGGGGGGGGGAGAGAGAGAGAGAGAGAGGGGGGAAAGGACACACATTCAGTACATAAAAAGCCCCACAGTTATGCACACACTGCATTGTTAGGTGTAGTTAAACGTTGACTGTTTAATGTGGCATCTCCTCCACAGAAATGGGTCAGGACTTTTAAACGATACAGTCGGGCGGCACAACTAACGAGCCCCTCATCCATCCCGGCTGGTTGCTGGGTTACCTGTCTCTGCAGGCGACACGTCGGCAGGAATCAGACACTCTCTCCTCTTCATCCTGCACAAACTGGAGAGGTAGAACATGCAAATTACAATGATGGGGCTCCTCCCGCAGTGCAGATGTATAAATCCATATTCTTCTATTAGGCATCAGCACATCTGGGTTGAACTAGTACAAAATGAAGAGAGTTTAAACATTGTAAAATGTTATGTCTTTTAACACATTGAACAAAACAAAATCCATTTAAAATGAATAAAACAGTCCCTGTGACCCAAGAGCAGGATGGTCTTCGGCTGCAGGAGACGTTGGTGTCACAACAACGGATTCAAAGGTCTGAGTCTCACCGCTTGTTCTCCAGGCAGGCCATGAGGAAGGTGAGCAGATAGAAGGAGAGGAAGATCCCCAGACAGAACAGCATGCCCATCACATACACCTCCACTGTGGGGTGAGAAGACACACAGTGACACTCTCACCCTGCCTCACCTCCCCGGCATCATGAACTGACTAGGCTGCAGCTCACAACAGGGAGAAACACAGTATGCAGCACATCACATGGAAGGAACAAAGAACTTTGGTTCCGCGTTACTTCTGAGAGCCCGGGGTTTAAATAAAATGTTATATTTTACACAAGAGAAACTTCTGCTTCAAAAACTAAAACGAGTTCCGTTTTTCAGCGTGGCTATTTTAAAAAAATAATTACTTTTAGTTCGCTGGCTTACAACAAACGCATGTAGACAACCCCCTCGCGACGCACGACTCACATTTGATGGCGGGCGTGACGATCACGTCGATGTCCTTGCTGCGGTTGCCGGCGTCGATGAGCACATCGGGACGGAGAGGGTAGAAGCGCAGCGGGCCGCCGCACGCCTCGTCCTCCGTTTTCACCACCACCACGACGTAGAAGCTGTTGCTGGGAAAGTCTTTTCTCTGGAAGACAAAGGGGGGGGGGTTAGAAGAGGTCACATGCAGTCTATGCTGGGGGGGAGGGGCTTCGTCCGACTCTACCTGCACGGTGATGGCGCCCTTTTTGGTCATCGTCTGGTACATTCCGATGAAGGCCACGTTGTTGTCGAGGTCATAGACGGGGCACTGGAAAGGAGCAGAGAGACGGGAAGAACAGGAAGCACTAAAACGATAATGACAATAGGGAACCCGGTAAATTCTATCGGAACATTTCAAATGATGTGAGCGTTGGCTTCGCAGTGAATCAATGAAATCAGTTTTTGGCCCTGTGTGTCTCAATGCTGCTACTGCAGGCTGAGAGTGTACCTGGATGTCCTGGATGGACATGACGGAGCAGGGAAAGGTCATGTCAGAGTTGACCTTGACGATCACAGTGTCCACCCCATCCGGAAAGACATACTTGAAGTACTGAAAGGAAGACGAGGGAGTTGTAGGATGATTCAAGGAGGAAATAATCAGAGAGGATGAGATAAAATCAGTTGCTAAAGAGTTTCTAAAAGAGGCTGAAAGGAAACACTACTTGGTTCCCCCTTTTTTTTTTTTTTTTAAAAGAAGAACGCCCTGAGTGATTGTGTAAAACGTGAAACCCCCTCATTTCTTATGCCTCAGCTTCTCTCGTGTCCCCCACCACCCTCCCCCTGCTGACTTCCTGTCCTCTACCTACATATTATGTGGCAGTGGCGCCCGGTGCCATGCGCTCGTAATACCTGCGGTTGAGACGGTGACGCGGTGAAGCTGAACTTCTTGTCCGTACTGTAAATCAAGACGAAGACAACGGGTCAGAGGTCAGCCGTCGGTCACCTGTGTGTTACAACAGATCCCACTCACTGCAGGGTGAAGCTCTCCACGCGGCTGACCCTCAGCTGGTAGTTTGTTCCCTGGCTGGAGAGGGTCGACACGTCCACAAAGAAGTACTGGGTCTCTGAGGCGACCAGGGTGGGAGGCTGGCACAGGGTCCGGCCCACGTGGTTGTAAGGGTACTTCCTCTGGTAGCTGGGAAGGAGACAGGCGAGCTCATGTTTGCATCCAAAATAGTTTTGTTTTTTAAATTTAGTTGACCGTAATGAGAGTTGCTGGTCTGTTCTAAGCTTGTCATCTCACTCGCGTGAAATTCGGCTTCAAAATCAGACGACCTAAGTGGATAACGCAGCTTCAAAGCTCTAGTAACAATGCTCACGGCGCACGGCGGTTTGTTTGTTCTTGGAAGATTTGAAGCAAAGTCCCTTCTGCATGAGACAGAAGGGACTTTGCTCTGATGACTTTGAGGAGGTTCAGATCTACGCTCAGATCTACTCCGGTGGACTTCAGAGGAGGAAGTCCAAAGTTCCCAAGAGATGGGGTGAAACATGCGGTGCCACGAGACATGAAAATGCAAGACGGTGACGGGGTCATTCTGGTGTTGCACAACAAGCGAGAGAACCTTGGAGCGCGGGACACACGGATCACTTCCCACATGGGCTGTTAGCCAATGGATAAAAAACAGCTGAACAAAGAAAGACATATTGTCCGCATACAACCGTTACATCTCCAAAAAGAGACATTGCAGAAAAGCATCTAAAAAACAACTTTCCTTCTCATTGAAGCGCAAACACAGCTCTCTTCGCCAAAACCAGAACATACGCTTGATCGCATGACCTGAGAACTGCCAGACACTCCCCATGAGGAGCCTTGGATAATTCATTTTAATTATATTTATTCAATAAACCCTACGGAGACTAGAGAGGAAAGACTCTCACAAACACAAAGCACCATACAAACTAGCGTATGCTAATTGCACTGCACTAATAAGAATGATGATAATAATACTATAGTCATTCAAGCACTGCTCTAAAATGTAAGGAATATTTTATGCTCAGAGCTCATGAGATTTTAGGCTGTTGCTTGGCAACAGAGGACAACGAAGCACTTGTTTTATTGTTTCTTCACAGGTTGGCGGAGGGGTCCCGTTTGTAAGGAGTGGGAATACTCACAGGCCTCTTAGAATGAGGGGGATTTGAAAAGACAGCACCGCTTGCTTCTGCCGCACCACGAACAGGATGGGACTCTCCAAGCCCCGTGACAAAACGTCCACGGACACGCGCACGCCCTCCGACTGACTCCCAGGGGAAAGACACAAAGTCAACACACTTAACGTCGCTTATATAAAAGTGTGTGTGTGTGTGTGTCCGCCAGCGGGTCGGCGTGAGCTCACCTTGTTCCTGGACACGGTGTGGTTGAACGCGTAGATGGTCTGGTTCTCACTCGTCGCCGTGTCGTTGTACGTGACGTCGAATTCGGCCTCTTTCTGGACCACGATGTTGGTCTCGGCCAGCGCGCCGCCGGCGCACGCGAGCCGGGTCACGCAGAACCAGAGCAGGGCCGCCGGCAGCACCGGTCGGACGGCAGCTCCGCGGCTTGTTTTGTGTCGCGACTTCCAGCAGCTCCTCAACACCATTTTGTCCAAACGCCGTCGTCGTGTACTGGTATCTGACGTTATTATAGTACTGCCCCGCCACCTCCCTCCTCCAGTCCGCTAATGGCAGCTCCACCCCATTTCGAGCACCTTTTCTCGGGTTATAAAGCTAGCTAGCTCAACCGTGCCACTTCCTGCGCGTGACCAACAACAACAGCAGCAGCAGCTGCTAACGGACTAGCCAACGAGCTAACTGTCAGCCTAATAACGAGCCCCGCTTGCTGTCGAATCGATAGCACAAGGTCCAACAAGTTGTCAACCGGGGGTCAATCGCTCGTCACCCGCAAAAGTCTGTCAGAGCCGTCAGCTAGCTGCGCTAACGTTAGCATCGCTGGTGATGCGGCTCCGTGTGTTTACACATCGGGAGTTCGGTTCCAGCGCAGCGAAAACGGTGTAAAAAAATCAAATCATCAGGATGTGGCTTCCCCCTTCCGTTTTATTGTCAAAGACTGTCCGGTAGAAGCGACTGTTGCTGACTTTATTTACAGCGCCGAGGCATTATGCAAGTATTTGTCGAGCGGAAGGTTACAGTTGCGAGATTCACCGTGTTTACAATGACATTAGCTCGTGCCCCCCCCCCTCCACGCTCAGACGTAAACAAACTCCGCAACGTGATGACGTCATCGCGGTTCCTTCAGCAACTCGATATAAGCACGTGATATAAGTATGTGCTTAAAATGCTTAGCTAAATGTTTTTCATTATTATCAGGAATTAGGAAACATTTATTGCCAGAATATGTCAGACTTACAAGGAATGTGACTTGGCGGTTGGTGCCAGTAGACAGTATGACAATAGACGACAAGACAGCAGTGCACGAGTAATAAAATAAAATAAAATGCTAATGCTATGGGTTAGTAGAATGAGGCTATGGGTTAGTTTAAAATAAAATAATGAAGTTAAAGTTAAAAATATTTAAAAAATAAAGTGCACTTGTGAACAGGAAGTGACAAAAGTGACGAGTGAAAAGTGGCAAGTGAAAGTGACGTGTCCAGAATGAAAGAAAGTGACCGGTGGAATGTTTGTTTGTGTTGTGTTTATTAAAAAAAGGAACCGACTTAAATAAGAACGGGTTATAAAATACTATCACCACGATATAACTCAGTTTGGAGACATTAAACGCGATTTACTGTCATGATCCAGTCAACAGTCACTCTGGCACTTAACACAACTGACTGCCAATATTCATGATCTAGATCTCCAAAATTAAAAAATTAAAGAATCTCCCCACATCAGAATGCCATTGTAGAGATTAGTGCTCGCCCAAATACCTTGTATTAACAATACAATCAAAAATACTTAATTTCGAAATCTTGCATATAATATTGAATTTAAAGCATGTTCGGGAATGAGTTATTCTGCCATCAAGACCAAGCAAGTGATGTGTGTCATATTTTACCGTGAAAAATTGGTCAGTTCCTGACTCCATTTTGGGGATCCCTGGTAATTTGGGTTTTAGGACAGTTTTGCTCAGTTCCAATTTTGGAAACAGGTCGCAATAGCTCCTTTCTACCACGGAGGGGCGCTGTCCACAACCTGCTGAGCTGAACCTGCTGAAAACGATTCTATTTACTTCAATTACGATTACACTCGTTCAAAAGAATTGAGAAAAAACGCATATATCCCAGCACGGATGTTGAGAACGCGTATTGTGTTACTAAAACTGCAGCCAATGTAATGGTGGCTCTTGAATATTTCCCCGCTGTTAGGGAGGAAAACCGTCCTTTAATGCCAACACAGGCGAATCAGCGGGAAAGGTAATCTGACAGCTTTAACAAGTGGGTCGTTTTTTCATTGAATTAAACTATTTGGAATATACTCATAGTGGTATAATGTGCAAAATGTTTCAAATTGACTGTAACGTGTGAACAATCCTCAGTTATTTTTTCTTATTTTGTCTGAAATTCTCAACTTGGAGATTATGTTTATACCGCTTTAAGGTCTCACGGACCCGTTTGATTGTAGTGCAGAAGCTCGCAAAGAATCACTGAATCATGGGAACCGGGGCTTGATTGCGCACTTCTTCGTCGCCCGGGCAACCGCAATACGTTTGCTCTGGATGAAGTCATTTGTTACGCCGATCGTTACCATGGTTACAACCCAGCGAGGGCTCTGCGGAGGAGCGTTCCACGTAAAATGACGCAGGGCGGGGGCGTGTCCGTGATGCGCGCTGCGCAAGCTGCTTGTTGTTCCCGCAGAGAGGCGAGAAGATGGCGGCCGTGTCAAGCGGAGGTGCTGCTGGGTCCGCTGCGGCCGGGATTACGCACTCTGCCCGACCGACCCACGCAGGCATGGGCTCCCAGAACCGAGCCCAGCCGTCCTCCGGCATCAACCACCCCAGTCGCACCGGCACGGCCCCCGGGAGCATCGCCAGTCCTGGCCACACTTCGGCCACCAGGCCCCCCCCAGCCCGAGTGGGCCACTACGAAATCGAGCGGACCATCGGCAAGGGAAATTTCGCGGTTGTCAAACTAGCCACACACATCATTACCAAAGCGAAGGTAAGGCGACTCGTGTCCGAGCCTTAGAGGTGCACAATGGCAGGCTGTCATGGTTTAATTCCACGCTTTTCCCACCATGGAAGGCTAACGTTACTCGGGATGACGCCGGGGCCTTCTTCAGGCTCGGGAGACACAGCGGCCAGCCCGCTTTTGGTGACACCGCTGCTCGGTGTAGGTAGAGGGGAGGAGGGGGGGTCTCCGTTCGACACCTCCTAACTGCTGGATCCAGACGCGCTCGCCTTTAAGACTTCGCGTGTATTATCTAGCTGCGTTGTTTTGTTTTTTTAACGGAACGCCAGAAAGGGGGCCGGGGTGCATGTGTGGCACGGCGCAGAGGACGGAGGGAAGGGTACTTACCCAGATGAAGAAGAGGAGACTCCGAACGTTCCGACCGTAGTAACGTTAGCTAGCTTAGCCCGTTAGCTAATTAGCTGCTCGGCTACGCGCAGATATCTTTCACCGCACGCCAACACATACGGCTCAAAGTTATCCAACCTGCTAGCTGGCTAACTTTAAATTACCAGCGAACTTCCGAACGTGTTGGTTGTAGGTTGGACGAGTCTTATAACTCTGTGTGAAAATCTCCCGTAAAACCGCCACAGAAAAGTCTTGATAGGCAACCATGGGAGATGCTGAGAATGTAACGTTAGCGTTTAGATGAAGCTACATTTACACTCTACAACGCGTCTTGGGTCTTTATTTTCTTGTGCTCTTTGTTGAAGCAGTTTGTCAGAACACATTATACATATTTACATTTTACGTTATATAGTTATTTGTCGTTTTATTTCTCGGTTAGTAGCTATATAACGTTGAGTTGGTTACATTTAGAAGTATACTGGATGATCGGCGTGTACTTACGGACCCTATTTCCAGCAAAAGATAATGGAATCACGCAGTGCTACATGTGTGTAAGTCGTATGTAGCTTATTACACGGGCTTTGGTCACGTATGTTAGTGTTTGTGGACTTTAAGTCGTGTTTGCCTCTGTTTGCCTGTGGGCCTTCTGGGACTTTCACTCTCGGTGTTGTGGCTCCCTCTTCTAGGCCTTCGTGTTCTTGTAAGTCCAAAAGGGTGAAAAACAAAGATCTAATCGGAAAGCCCCACATTGTGCATAAAAAAAGAGGGGGAGAAAACCGCATCTGTAACATTTCTGCAGAGAAGAAACACTGATTCGCATCCTACTGACTTCTACTCGGGACCAATGTGTGGAGTCTGGTGACAATTGACATGTTGTGATAAGGACTCGCATCCTTCTTTGCTCGGAGTACTCACAGCGAACGAGGCACCTTAAGCCTAAACTCTCAGACGGCTCGTGCGGCGTAATTCTTCGTTTTGGCCCGATGAAGATCCCTTAATTCGGATGGCACAAATAGAGGTGTGCCGCGGCCCGCTGACTGTGCAGCTTTACTTCTATGCTCTTGTTGACATGCACACAGGCCGGCAGACACCAGTCATTTGGGTGCTTTGCTCCGCGTAGCCCTGAGAACCTCCCACTTGGCTTCACGAGGCCAAAATAAACTTGAGGTCAGTGAGTGCTATGTAGTGTTTGCATGTCAATGCAGCAGCAGACGTCCTGGAAGGAATCCCGATGTGTTGATGGACTAGTAGTTGTGCGAGCTGTGGCGTTCGGTCTTTATGAGAGCAATACAAAGACGCTAGCAATGTCATAGTGTGAGATTAATGAGCTGCTTATGAAGCTTTACTCATTGTGTGTGTGTGTGTGTGTGTGTGTGTGTGTGTGTGTGTGTGTGTGTGTGTGGCTTTCTGTCAGCGTGTGAGGGACAGGCAGAGGACAAAATGACAGTGGACCACAGGGTGAAAGAGACGCCTTGTTGGGTGTCTGCGACCAGTCGGCTCATGATTTTCACCAGCGAGAACCCAAGATTCTCACGAGCGGCTGGTTTCACACGCCTGTGACATCATCTCTGTGGCTATGACGATCAGTCGTCAGATTTGCTTTCGAGCGCTCTTCCACCGCCTCGTTTTTTCTGACCGTCCAATGAGAAACGCTGACTAGTCCGGTTGTTGGATGCAGCAGGATCACAGGCGGACCTGCTTATTCATACTCGGTACGGTACTCATTGGCTCACCGTTGTTTTTGAGTCCAAAACATTCAACAGGCAATTTGTTTAGACTTTCTTAACCCCAATACTTTTTAAACCGTGTGTTTTGCAAATTCTTGCCGGGGCGGAGGCCGTTGGCGTGCGCCCGCTAACAGAGAGGCCGCTTTGCGCACACAAAGCGCCGATGGCTGGTAGCTACTGTGCTGCACCTGGATGTCGTAATAGTGAAAGTTCATCTCCTCCAGACAAAAGGGCCGCTGGTGGAGTGGAAGTCAAAACAGAAGTGTTTACACACTCCCACATACGCCGGGCTAGAGGCAGTTGGGCCACACTTTGCTGAGGGCTTGATACATTACTTGATTTTTTTTTTCCATCTCCATAAACTTTATTGCTTGTGACCTTTCAACAAAGGACGCGTGTTCTCTGGTAGCTCCAGGTTAGTCACGCTAGTCCCTTATACTGCTCTATGAATATTACTCAATACACCAAAGCACAGTGTTATTGATAGATTGATGTTGCACCAAGATAACCAATTTATTCTCTTTGAATTAAATCCCCCCCCCCCCCCCCAAAAAAAGTGCCACCTACCCAAATATTGTGGTTGCTTCCAAGCAGTGGGAAAAATGTCAGCACATGAACATTTAAACTAATTGACATGTTTCTGTAAATATTGATCAGCACGGTAGTTTTGCACTGCAATTATGTGACCAATATTCCCAAAGATGTATGACGATAAGCAGTGATACTTATCAGCAAATGAGATCCAATGCTAATTTGATTCTACATGCACACAAGCATGTCACAAGCAAACGTTTTATATTTCTTGCATAATAAGCTACAAACTCATTACTTTACTCATGGGGGGCGTAATTACACATACGTTAAAGATCACAAATCACAAGAAATGTAACTTAATGTGATCAGTTGCTAAAATACAATACACAGTATTCTTTTTTCTCACACAACAAAAAAACAAACTTTGATTATCATCAGTAATAACAGAAATATTTTGCCATTGAGTCATTTGTATTATCAATAGAACAATCAGGATATTGTTTTGTAATTAGATGTTTGTGTCGGCCGCAAAAGCTGCTGACTTCAATAATGCACATGTGTCCTGTGTGCCTGCAGTGTATCATGACTGACTCAATGTGTGTCATGTGTGAGAAGCCCCTTTAAAGCCGCCGTGTACGACCCACTTTTTGTGTAGTACCTTGACTGGGTGAGTCACGGCCGGTGCCCTAGTGCGAGCCGGCCGCGGATCACCCGGGAACGCGCTCTGTCTCACCGGGACCGCAGACGGCACCCCGCGGGGTGTCCCAGCCGGATCCTTTACTTCCCCCCCTTTTTTCCCCTGCCATCTCCCGTCCCCTCAGCATCAGTGTCTTCTTAAGGCGAGAGGAGGATGAGCAGGAGGAAGAGGAGGCAGGGCGCCAAGCGTTAGGTAACGGGCCCAAATGTAACAATTGTACTCTGAGATGCGTCATCCCCTCACTGATGCTCAAAGACACACACACACACACACACACACAAATGTTTTTCCATTTGGGCGAATAATGTGACAAAGGCTGTGATTTCTGCCTCGCTTGTCTTCCAGCCTCCAAGTCGTCTTCTTAGTGGTGTGAATCCGCTGCCAGCGAGGTTCAAAAGACTCTCCCTCGCCCTCTTTGTCACATGATGTGAGGGAGGACAGTGTATGCTTCGTCAGTGTGATCCTCTTCATCATCAGTGTTTGCACCCCTCCCTCCTGTAACCGTAGCGCCGCAATCATCATCACCCACAGCGACGCTTGTTGTCAGATTGCGTTGCCATGGCCTGTTAGTTGGCGAGAACTTGCTTGCCTTGAAGTCATGGCGGTTTCCATAGCGATGATGGCGGTGCCGCCCCTCAACCGCAGATTCTCGATAGAAGTGCCCGGCCTTTGGCTGAGTCTTTGATTCCATTTCCATGTGTTAATGTCGCTGCGGGTCTTTAGCCGCAGGTTCCCTCTTGTTATCGTTGATTCAACGTTCACTCCGAAGATCGGAATGTTGATCGTCCGGAGTCAACCAGCTCCTTGTGATGTTCTCATGCAGAATCTGCAGTTATGTTTTTTTTTTTATAATTCCAAAACCTGCCTCTGCATTTAAAAAACAACTCTATTTTTCATGCCCCAAAAGACCGTGTTGAGTTTTTTGGCAGGATTTGTAAATATACCCGTGTCAGTAGCTGACCTAACTGGTTGTGCTCGGGTCCTTACGCCCGTCATAATTGACTAAGTGGAGACTGTGCTGTGCAAAACGAGGGAAAGCAAACAGCGGATCAATGTGCAATGTCCACCGTCTTCACAGTGTAGCGCGTCCCCACTTCTGCGCTCTCAACTGAGTCATTTCCACACACAAACTCTCCCGAGCACACGGCGCGCTGACTCACGCCGCCTGCACGCTTTCATGTCGGCGTGTGCAGTCATAGTACTGACCCGCTGTGTGATGTCTTTGTGACTTCACGAAGGCGCCCGCAGTCTGAGCTTGATAACGAGCAGCTCCTCGCCAGCCGCCGCAAACACCGTGTTTGCAGAACTCTCGTGTGCTCTTGTGGCCGTTTTGCGTTTTCACTCGTGATGCGGGTTAAGCCTGAGCCTTGGAGGTGTCGTAATTTGTGTCACCCGTTGATGAAGGTTAACCTCATACATAATGTTGTGTGTGTGTGTGTGGGCGCGCGCACACAGCTCAGCATGTAGACGTTACACCATAGACCTGATTCTTTCCTCAGGATCAGCCTCGTTATCGTTGAGTCACGGATGTTTTTAAAGTTCTCACAGACCGAAAGACTGTAAGACTGTGTGAGCATCTTTAAATAATCTCATACTTTTAATGCTGTTGTGAATATTTTACCTGATTGTCTTTTTATATTTTCTGATTCCTTGTTTTTTTGCTTTGAAATAGAACAAAACTCTTTTGAAAGGAGCGTTGGAACAAATGTGTTTCATCAGAATGAAAAATATATCGACCAGGATTTATTCTGTCAATGTCCTCTATTGATATTCTGAAAGTAACATCAGTTCCAGCTAATTCTGTGTAGATGTAACAATCAGCTCAGCAATAAACCATTGTGGCTTTTCTGTGATGGGCTGATCCTCAAATCACCCTAAAATTGAAAACGTAGACGCCTTTCTCTGTGGCCGGCGAGCTTTTTTCCATCATGTGAACAGTAATGCTGTTTGTACAAACATGTTTTGTGTTTGTCTGCGTCTCTCCTGCCATTTTTCTCTGTAAAAGAAGGAGGTCAAGCCGGGCAGAAATGAGCAGAATTGCTGCCTGTCCAGGCTCATAATATTATATTATCTGTCCTAGCATGTCGCAAGACTGCTGATTTATTATAACTCTGGTATGAACACAAAATATTTCATTAAGTACGTGGATGTTGAAACGGTGGTTGTTTAAATAAAAGTTTTTTTTTCTTGTTTTTTTTTCGTAAAAGCTTCCACAAAGTGGAAAATGGTCATTTAATAATAAGAAAGGCTTTATAAAAAATAATTCTTTTAAGAGAATATTTTGATTGCAGGAGCAATTTCTCAGAAGCCTCCTATCGCCTGTTGCAACCGGCGATCCTTCATCCAAAGATGGAACCAATTAGAGATGTTCACCTCCAGTCCCCATTTCCACATGTGAGGGTGGAGAAAAGCCACCTCGCTGCTGGTCCCCTTCGGTGATGTGGATGTAATCGGCTCATTCTGAAGTAACGCAATTCTTTTCGCACTGGAGAAAGCATAATATATTCTATTTCTGCCAACAGATCCCCTAAATGCTTCACACGTTCTCTTTATGCCTCAAAGGAAGCTGAGTGGACTGTTGTGTGATGTGCAGTTAATGGTCCGGACTCCAGCTGCTCCGTGTTGAAGTCCCTGTCATGTAATCGGAGGGGCTATGTGACACCGGCCTCTCATTAGTGTGTGTGTGTGTGTGTGTGTGTGTATTTACACCCAGACCTTTTGATGGAAAATTCTAGAGCCATTGAAGCTGCGCAGACTGGACACCCAACGGCAGCTCGGATACTAAGATACGCCTCATGCAGACTGCATCCTGGAGCTAAACCATGAAACGCAGCCCCTTTGAGATGTAGAATGGGCCAAGAATAGATTCTGAGAGCCTAAAATAATACATAGACACGCTACTTGAAACTACTTGATTTGATTCAAATGGCACCCAGCAGCGACAGCCCGTCTGCACAGCGAGCAAACGCAGCGCTCAGGTTTTTTGGTCCAAAAGTCCAAACTGACGTTTTATCTCCCAAAATTGTGCTTCGTTGCAGATTTTTTGGCATTTCAAAGCCAATATTTGGACGAGCGCCGTTTCTGTCCTGCTCCCCTCACACGAGGCCAAAGCTGTGTAAGCACGATTGTCTTCCACAAACACCAGAAGTTATACAAACAATAATAATATTAACATAATAACCTGTGATCACAGACAGTCAAAGCTTCAGGTGAAAAAGCCTTTTTCCGAATTGATAACTGGTACATTTGGTAGAGCCTCTCTTAACTGATCTGACAATGCGATCATCACGCAAGATAAACAAATGGTAAACAAGTGAAAACCCTCAAACACAATGCGATCCTTTTGTCGCCCTGCAGGGAAACGCCCGCGTCCCTCGATGGTCGAGCCGCTTTGTGAGTTGTCAGGTTCAGAGAAAAGCCGTTAAAAGTTATTCCTCTCTTTTGTGCGCTAAAACATTGTTCCGTTACGGTCCCACTTGAGATAAACCAGCACGCACTGCTGCTTCTTCCTGTGTGCGCATCTCCCATCCGTCGCCTCACAGTTTGATGCATTAAAACAACGTTTTGTCTTCCCTCAGCGACGTTTCCTCGACCTGATCGCCGTGCCGCGGTTCGATGTTAATCTGCGCGACGTGTTCTTCAAGCCTCGGAACCCGGCTGGTATCGTCGGCACTTATGGGTTACTGATTTTTTTAAATGAAACTCAGCAAACAGGTTTTTCAAAATGGTAGAAGTAGAGAAATCTACCAATAGACGTTTTCCACAATTGTGCGATTCCTTTTGAAAGGAAGCTACGCACGCAGATCTGGACTCCTGCCACCATTGGATGTGACTTTGTGTCCTCCCAGGAGCCTCCTCTGCGCGCTCCCTCACTTCCCCTTCCTGTCTGCAGCAGGAAGTCCCCCTTTGCCAGGCTTCAGACGGCCTTCTTCGTGTCTCTGATCAGGAAAGGGAGGGCTCCAATGGCACCAAACCGAATTTAACGTACGAGTGTGTGTGTCTGTGTGTGTGTGTCAACGCAGGGCACATACTTTCCATTTTTTCACACGCACTCGGACTGTACTCTCATCTATTTTTGGAAGGAGCGATGTTTTTTTGACAGCCTCGTTAGAGCCGCCTGATTAAGTCATTAAAGTCGTCTATCCGTCTCTAAGTGGCAGCTGTAAGCTGCTGTCGCACGGCGTCACCGTCCGCCCCGCCGCCGCCATTGTGTCCTGCTCGGCCGTTACGCAACGGCCGGGGGGCTCTCGGCCCAGGTTCACGGCCGGGGTCAGGTTATCCAAACAGGCTGGCAATCCAGGGAAGGCACCGCCGTGTGACGGCACGCAGTTCGGCAACTCGTCCGCTTAAGGAGCGGCCATCCCTCTCGTTGTATTCTGGGTGTTTCGCTTTTGTCCTTTTCACTTAATAAATTATTTGTGTTTTATTGCTGGTTTCAGCAGACTGTTGATTGTAAACTGAGTCTGTTTCACTCTGCTTTATTTATTTATTACATCACAATGGCAATATTGCAACTTGACCGTTATCAGCAATTGTTGCCTGCAATTTAACCGTCAACTAAACACACATTAATATGAATGTATTGTTAACACCCCAGAGCTGGTGAACAAATGGCGAGGTTTAACTAACACTCTCTCCCTGCGCCCTCTCATCTTTATTTCACCCCCCCCCCCCCCCCCTCCATCCCTTTTCTGGGTCTCTCCACCTCCCGGTGGCTATAAAAATAGTGGATAAAACCCAGCTGGACCAACAGAACCTGAAAAAGATTTTCAGAGAGGTGCCAATCATGAAGGTGCTGGAGCACCCCCCCATCATCCGCCTCTACGAGGTCCCCCCCCCCCCCCCCCGCCCCTTCCCCCCCAACTTGCAGGCACCGCTTGGTACTATAAAAGTATAAAAACCACAGCCTGAGTAAATGGTTTTCTCTCCTGTTTGGATCTCCCCGTGCCTATGTGTGCCAAACACTGCTTACTCATGCTGTTGCGTAACGGGGCGCCGCCTGTCAGAGCGCGGGCACCGCCTGGTTGTTATCATTAGTTTGTGTCTTCAGGTGATGGAGACTGAGCGGATGATCTATCTGGTAACGGAGTACGCCAGCGGTGGAGAGATATTCGGTAAGGGAGTTCCCACCTTAATCATCGCCTCTCCCTCTGCTTTACAGTGTAATTGTCCTTTTGAATTAGTTTTTTAAGCCAACGTCATATAACAGACTGCTTTTTAAAGTAAATGAAAAGCTAATGAATGTTTTTCTCCTTTTTTTTTTGTTTGCACTGCTTGTATTGATTTCTTCATTTCAATAAACGTGGCCCGACCTCACTTTTTCTTTAACTTCCCCTCCTCCCATATCTTTGCGGAGAATGCGGCTCCAAAACTCACATCAGTCCCCCCGACGTCCCATTCCTCTGTCCGATCACAAGAGAATCCTCATCATCTCCATTTGCATATTCACAACAAAGTACCCTAAACTTCTTAACTGTCCATTTGTTGCTTGCTTGTGTGTGTGTGTGTGTGTGTGCGTGGGCGCGCACAGACCACCTGGTGGCCCACGGGCGCATGGCGGAAAAGGACGCCCGGAAGAAGTTCAAACAGATTGTGGCAGCGGTCCATTTCTGTCACTGCCGCAACATCGTCCACAGAGACCTGAAGGCGGAGAATCTGCTGCTGGACCACAACCTCAACATCAAAATCGCAGGTGTGTGTTCGTGCCGAGAACGTCAGGGTGGGGAACGTTCTTCAGTGGTTTCGGGCTGCCTGGGTGAGTGGGCGAAGGCGAGTGTCGACACGTGCTCCCCTTCCTGGAGCGTTTCCTTCACCGCTGTTTGAGTTATCTTCCATCGAGTGGAGTGAAACCTTGCCTCTCACCCTGCGCAGATTTTGGCTTCAGCAACCTGTTTGCTCGAGGACAGCTGTTGAAGACGTGGTGCGGCAGCCCCCCCTACGCCGCGCCAGAGCTCTTCGAGGGCAAGGAGTACGACGGGCCGAAAGTCGACATATGGGTGAGTTTGAGCTCAAATCGGCCCCCCGAGACAAACGAAAAGGAATCTTGAAATCATCGAAAGGCGGCTTGGGGTTGTTCATTGGCGGTTGATGTCCCGCTCGTGCGGCTCTTTCTCTCTGCAGAGCTTAGGTGTGGTGTTGTACGTGCTGGTGTGCGGCGCCCTGCCTTTTGACGGCAGCACCCTGCAGAATTTGCGGGCGCGCGTCCTCAGCGGCAAGTTCCGCATCCCCTTCTTCATGTCCACAGGTAGGACTCCACTCCTTCACTCTTCTCGTGTCTCCTTAACGCACAACGCAATTGGCTTCATATCCATTTCTTTTGCACCAAGGTGGTGATTAATGATGCACAGTCTTTGTGTTTATTATTACATTACAATACAGTGCCAAGAGAAACGAGAAACATGCTGAGTGGCTCCTTTACTCGTCACGAGACCTTTCGTATGGTGCATCATTTCTATCCATGTGTGCGTTATAGCCAGCGACGCACCACTCACATATGTTGTGTGTCTGTATCCACCGTTTGCGTCCGTGCTCAAGGATCCACTCAGAGACGGTGCTCTCCAGCGCCCCCAGTGGTTAGTAACTGTAATAAACTCCCTCTAACTGGGCCTTCACGTCGGAATAAAGTGTCCAAATGTTCCCTGAAAAACGCTCCTGTGGACAATTCGGGTTCAGAATGTTCTGTGGCTGTGACATACTTCCTTCCTTAAGGAAACAAAAATATAACCGGGATAATTAAAGTGTGCGTAAAGTGAATATTTGAATAACAGACTAGGAGTGGGGTATTACTCTCTAAAGGTCAAAAGAACTACAGGATGCTTTCAGTATTGATGCACATACATGGACTTCCTGAAAATAAAGACAGACGCACCACAATTTGAAAATGTGGCTTCTCTAAATGGCCGCATGTTGTGGAACTTCTTTTTTTCTTTGGCAATGTGTTCCGCGAGGCCTCCTCTCATGTGTGTCTGTGTCTCTGCAGACTGCGAGTACCTGATCAGACACATGTTGGTGCTGGAGCCCAGCAGACGGTTGACCTTGGAGCAGATCTGTAAGAACAAGTGGATGAGACTAGGAGATCCGGACCCGGACTTCGACAGGGTGAGGCTCCTTGTTGGCGAGGGCGTTAACAAAAGCAAAAACCCTCTCGTGTGCAGCATCGTACTTCTGCTACACTATTAACTCCCCCTGTTTCTCCCCTCCAGTTGATAGCGGAGTGTGAGCAGGTGAAGACGGAGAGGGAGGTCGAGCTCATCAATGAGCAGGTTCTGAAAGCAATGTGCGAGATGGGCCTGGATCGAGAACGCACACTTCAGGTGGGACACAAATGCGTAGCTGATGTCGTTAAATGTCTGTGGTTAAATCAGTTTAAATCTATTGATTTTGCCCTTTTCTCTTCTAGTCCCTACAAACGGATGCATACGATCACTACAGCGCCATCTACAGTTTGCTGGCCGACCGCCTCAAGAAACACAAGACCCTGCTTGTTGCTCCGCCCAAGCCGCGCTCCATCAACTATCCTCTTAGCGCCGTGCAGGTAATTCACCGATGGCCGATGTTGGTCGGATTCGCTCACCACAGTAAAGCCGATTCTGATCCGTCTTACGTGAATCCGTCGACACAACAAAATCATGATGTTCCTTCGTTGTCATTTTCCTGAAAGCCTCATCAAAAGTATCGGTGCGAGCTCGGCGCATAGCGCTCCTGTTGAAGCCGCTTACTTGTCCACTGAGTGGAGTTGATTGCGTTAACCCACATCCACCAAATCCCACTGCACTAACAAGATTGCTAGCATATTAGCATAATCCTCACACAACCTGTCTGTCTTTGTGTGTGTGTGTGACCAGCAGACAGATCCGCAGGGTAATCCCGTTAGCATGACCGTTCCCCACGTCCAGCTCATCAACCCAGAGAACCAGATCGTCGAGGTGAGTCCACTGACGGTCGTGTTGCCATGGCAATGCGTTAGCTAGCAACACGGCCAGCTTCTAAAGCGTACATAGTGGAACCTACTTAAATTCTCACTATGATCGCTTGATACATCGCTGCAGACGCACACAAGCGTGCCCCACACACACACACACACACACACACACACACACACACACACACACACACACTACAAAGGGGCCTTTCCAAGTGACAAAAACACGTTTGTGTGTTTCGCTGTACAGCCGGACGGCAGCATGGCGCTGGACAGCGATGAAGGGGAGGAGCCATCCCCCGAGGCCATGGCTCGCTATCTGTCAATGAGGCGGCACACCGTGGGAGTACCAGACCAAAGGTAGAGCTCTCCCATCTGTTGTTGCTAGGCAATCACAAGTAGTCATTTTCCTCTTTCACATTCGCTGGCTGTGGCTCAATCTCCGGTAGTAACTGTTAAATGTTCCTAATCGTCCATCATTTCCACCGCAGTTTTTATTCACACCAACTATTTGCTGATTCCGTCTGCTTTTTGTTCTTGTGTTTCTCCCCGGTTTAGGATCAAACGTATGCACCGATCATTGTCAGAGCTTTGGGTGGAGCACTTATTTGGGGCAGTTGATGCTGTCAGCCTTAAAGCAAACAACAGAACTAGTATTTTTAAAATCTTGTTAAATGATCAGTGGGTTATTTAAGATTGCCTCTTTAAATATTATATCCCAAATAAGACAATACTGTTATTCAAATGATTGCTCTACGATCAGTAGATGTGACGTCCTCTGTCCCGGGACCCCCACAGACGTTGTACATGAAGCCATTGACTGTCCTGCCGTTGTCTCCTGTTCAACCACAGGACAGACATGCAGGAGGACCTCCAGAAACTGCCGCCAGGTTTCCCTCGCGGTGCGGTTCCCCAGCCCCCTTTCCCCTCACTGGTCCCCAACATGGGCCAAACTCACACTCTCATGCCCGCACAGAGCTTGCAGCCCACACAGCAGCTGGAGTACAAGGTACAGGCAGCTGGGTTCGATTGGACGCGGACTTTCATCAGTTGATGTGCAGAAACCGCCCCCAAATATCCTGGTTTTTAAATTTTCCCCTCCGATCTACCAATTTTTCCCCCCTCCACCTCCAGGAGCAGTCCTTGCTGCAGCCCCCCACCCTCCAGCTGCTCAACGGCATGGGGCCTCTCGGTCGAAGGGCTTCCGACGGCGGGGCCAACATTCAACTACACGCTCAGCTCCTCAAGCGGCCCCGGGGGCCCTCACCGCTTGTTGCCAGCCCGGTGAGGATCTGCATCTCCGTGCTGTGCCGATGTATACATTTCCCCCTCGTAGAAACGGGAGTGCTGACTCGTGAATCCTTTGCCCTCTCTCAGCACCCAATCCCCGCAGTAGCTCCGGTGGATGAGGAAGGTTCAGACGGAGAGCCGGACCAGGAGGCAGTACAGAGGTAAGCTACGGCGGCGCTTTCTGGTGAAGGGGTACACTATACAGGGGTGCTGTCTAAAGTGGATACTCTGGAGGGCCCGTAACCCCGACGACGAGGGGGTTAATTCTCATTGGTCACTTTTGTTAGTCAGATTCACATGTATGCTCTAAGCACTTCATTTGACAGCTAATGTTCTAGTTGAATCCTCAGCCTCTGAGTAAACAAACCACACACAAGCCTAAGATGCATCAGGCTAGAGACATGCACGACATGATGATGGTCTCTTATTGAATTTAAGAGGGCGAGTATGTGTTGAATCCAGTTAATTGAATAACTTTTTATCAAACAAATATGATAAAGCAGAGACACATTCATACACAAAGCCTTTTCAAAATAAGATTTGACATGGAAGGAACTGCAATGATAAAGGAGGTGGGATCTTGGGCATTCCCGGCGGTCCTCCTCAGACAGCATCCTCGGTAGACTTCGCTGGTGTCCTGGGTTGCTGGGAGTGAGTGCCTCTTGGCTGCGCTGCTTTGTCCCCGCGGGAGGTGGCCGCTCTCACGCTGCGGTGCTTACACCATCTCTCTGCCTTTCTCCATTGCGCAAGTGCCTTCTGCCACGCTTCCAAACTCAATCCGCCACCAAACCAACTCTTTAGCCAAGAGCTTCTTTTTCTCTCATTTCAATGAGCGCCAAATTAGCCTGTGGACTCTCTCACTCTTTTTCACACAGCTTTGCTAACTCTGAAGCTTGCGAACCGCCCCTCCCCTCCTCCCCCCCTTCTCATTCCCCCTAAAAAGACATCCAGTCCAATCCTTAAATTGGAAGCTGGGGGTTGTGGGACACCCGTAAGCAATAACTTCCATCTATGGTGTAATTTATATCTGATGTCTTTCTGATTGGCTCAAATGATATGAATGATGGCACCCATTGGCAGAGGTGGAAAGGGGCTGCCCCCCCCCCCCCCCCCCCCCCCCCCCTGTTTCCATTAGCCAATGAGGACAGAGAGCTGACCAGCGCTGCTTCCTGTCTCCCACCCTCCCACCCCCCCCCACCCTCCCTGCGGCCCAGGTACCTGGCGAACCGCTCCAAGCGGCACACGACGCACGCGCTCACGAGCACTTCGCATGGCGAGCCCTGAGGCAGAGTCACAGCGGCCCCAGGGCCCCCAGCTAGAGAGTGGGCTGGGCCCCCGACACACACACCGGGTGAGGGGAAACACCCGTTCCGAGCGGTATATGCACACACACACACACGCACATTAAATGAGGGGCATCTCTTTCACTATCTCGCTCTTTTTCTCACACACACACACACACACACACAAAGTCACAGTCGCACAAACCGCTGATCTCACACACAAATATTGGTGAGGATGTTTTTTTGTCAATAGTGATGGGGGGGGGGGTGGCACACAGCAGACGCATCACCAGCTAACCTGTTCACTTTGTCTTCCTGGTGAACCCGGAAGGTATTTGACCGGTTTGGATTCAGCAGATTAGTTTTGTGTGAGCAACCCCGCAAAGCCTCCTGTGTTCATTTCCTGTCCAATAGGAGTCATATTTTGTGTTTTCGCCGTTGTGCCCCACTCAGTCCCCCCAAAGTGAGATCTTCCTCCCACTAGAAAGTCTTTTGGTGTTTGGATGCTTTGGCAGAAAGCTGGTGACTACGTTGTGGCTTTGTAAAGGAAAGCTGTCGGACCCGTTGATCGTTGTCGTGGGCGAGCAGATGCTGTGGCGTGTCGGCCATCTGTATGCCACCTCGTGGTCGTCGTTGATGTGCTTTTAACTATGCAGTGAACAGTAGCTAATCTCCTCCCCATTGATGCCAGATGTTTCCGCGTGCGGTGCTTAGTGAGAAACCTGTCATGAAGTGTCCCTTTGTATGTCCTTCGCTGGAAGTGTGGCCCTTAGAGGCGTTTCCATTCACAATGGTATGTATATGACGTGCCTGACCCTTTAACTCGTGCTCAACTCACACATTTATTATGCAAGATTTTGTCTTATTGACTTCTGGGACAAATGTGTCGTGCTACAGACCGGAGTCACTGTGCAACTTCCGGATTCATTTTACGTATCAGTTATGTGAATTTTCTTAATGTTTGTAACGCCCGTTAACCCCCCCGAGGGGCGCTCGTCCTCAGAGACATCTAGTGGGCTGCACAGGTACTGCAGAATGCTTAATAAAGAATAACACAGTTTGGGGTCTTTGCCAACATGCCCCCGGATTAAGTGGTGCAGGAGAAGAGAGGTGACATTACATTACGTACATTAAGTATAATGGCAGGCAGTGATGGGCATCTGTGAGCTGAATTTTTATTTCTTTCATTTCGGCTGACCGAAAAACACCTTTTCATTTAGTTTTTCTTTTGTGAAATATGTTTCTTTGTCGTTTTTCTTTTTGACGTAGTTCTCTGAAATCTCTCTTCCAATCAGATGGAGGCCTTTTAATGATAACATTCTGGAAACGCCTGTTCTACACAATATATCAGTCATATGACTTGACTATTTTGTGCATGTTTGAAAAGCTCAAGCTTCTCATGTGTCCTGTTTCTGTGTGACTGTGTGTGTCTCCTGTTGTTTGTGTGTGTGTGTGTGTGTGTGTGTGTGTGTGTTTGCGTACACACGTATCTGTCTGCTCCCTGTGGTCCCCTCCTCAGATCCAGCTATAAGGACTGTAACACCCTTCATCTCCCCATGGAGCGCTTCTCACCCGTCAGGCGCTTTTCTGACGGCGCCGCCACCATCCAGGCCTTCAAGGCTCATCTAGAGCACAGCAGCCTCATTAAGCAACTCAAACAGGTAACACCACCCCTACTCTATAGAGGGAGCAGCAGGAAAGCTTCCTCACTGTTTGAACATGCTACAAGAGACATTGGGCGGGACTGCATATGAGGGCAGGAGTCACAGGAGTGGATGTTCGATTTGGTGATCCTGCCAAAATAAATAAATGGTCCGAACTGGAGGTAAATCAAGAGTTTGAGGTGACCAGCTGCTCCAGAAGTCCCTTCCCTCGTCTTGATCTGCTTTTCATGTGGTGTCCAAACTGACCTGAGCTTATTTTCGTTTGACTTTCTGTTACCTCCACGCACGACGTACAGCATCCTCCAGCTGCTTCCCATAATTCCCAGTGGCACTAGAATAGGATTAACTCGCCTAGCGGTGGTGGGGGGGAGGGGGGGGGGATAATCGTCGTGTTCACAGAGGTCTCTTTGCCTCATGCTGGGATTAGCGCGTCACGTGTGTGGAGGGTTCATACAGGTGAAGAGTTGGCAACATTTGATTGAAAACGGTTCTGCAATGGCTAAATGTCCCCCCCCCCTAACAACGTTATTTAATATTTGATGGGCTTGTCCATGATTCCAAACAGGAGTGCGAGCAGCTCCAGAAAATGTACGCTGCCCAGCAGGATGAGCGGTTCCTGGAGCACACACAGCAGCAGCATATCCTCTACCAGCAAGAGCAACAGATCCTCCACCAGCAAATCCAGGTATTATAGACGCCGCACCGTGCAGAGGGAGTTGGGTGGTGGTGTTTTCCCATAATCTCTTGTGTAAGTCGGGCTGACCTTAAGTAGCCCTGACATTGTAGAAACAAAGATGTATGCTTCATAGATGGTGCTATTGATTTGGATATAGTGAACTGTTTCCTCATCTGTCTCCTGAACTCCTCTCTTTGGGGGGGGTCGCCCTCTCCTCACAGCACCTCTACCAGCAAATCCACTTCTATCGGGACGCCGGGTCTAATTCCATTTCTCCTCACCTGCAGGGTCTGTCTTTAGGCCACGGAGAGAGCCAGCCCAGTCACCTGACCCACCAGCTCCAGAGGTGAGCATATTACTCATCAGCTATTGAGCGGTGAACAATGAACTTGATAGCGTGGTGCAGTGCTATCGACTGAAGAGTTGCATCATGGTTCTCTCTCTCTCTCTCTCTCTCTCTCTCCCCCGTCCTCCCTCAGGTTGCGCATCCAGCCTTCCAGTCCTCCGCCAACTCATCCCAGCAACCACCTCTTCAGACAGCCCAACCAGAGCCCCCCGCCTTGCTCTGCAGGCATGATGCAAGGGCACGGTGAGCAAAGCTGCAGTGTTTAAAGAGCTCTCGTTCTTATGTAAGGCTTCATTATTGCTGTGTGGCACTGACGTCTGATGCGCGCTGATTCTTGACGTCGTGTCATGAATAAAGTACAGATGACCTAGTTTATGCCGACTGATTGAAAAATGTGTGACGCGCGGCCGGCCGGTGAGCAAACACGTCCTTCATCGAGTGCACAATAACCTGTGGTTATTGCAAGCAGTCCGCTGAGACTTGCTAATAGGAACGCGTCAACGACCTGTAAACGACTTGCCTCCCTCCCTCCCTCCCTGCAGGAGGTCCCTCACCAGTGCAGTACCAGCACGGGGCTCCTGCACTCTATCAAGGCCAGAGTGGCAGCCCGCCTCCGCGAGCCTCTCTACCGACCAATCAGCAGGCAGCATCCGCCCACCCCAGCGTAGCGCTGGCGCAGGGTGTACCTCAACAACAGCAGGTGACTTCACGAGGAGCTGTTGTCTAAGCAGACGTCTCTCTGAAGGCGAAGGGTCTCCATCGATAACGAATATTAACGTTGTGTAGGTGACCATTCAGGTTCAAGAGGTGGAGCTGGGAGGCGTGGCGCAGAGACAGGGCGGCTTTTTGTCCACGCCGGGGCACCGAGTCCTCGGGAAGCAGCTGAGCGCGGACAACGCCGAGACGCACAGGTGACCTCACCCGTCCTGTCTGCTGGTGGCGGAGCATTTGTTTTCTCTTTTCATCTCTCCATGACCTCGGCAACCAAACTTCATGCCTTCATTTGTTGCGTTCTCATGTTCATTAATTGTGTGTCTCACTCTTTTCTCTGTGTTTGACATTTTTCCCACGTGCACTCATTTTCTGCAAATTCTATTTGGCAACTTTAGTCAGTAATACCGTTGCTCAGTTGCTTTGAGGTAATTATAACATCATCATCATCATCGTGTTGTGAGTGAACTCACTGTGAAATAGTCCCCTGTAAACCTTTGCTGAGAGAATGTGTAACAATTGAATGATTTCACCTCTCAGTGAAGATCTGGACTCGAGTCCACGTGTTTGCTAGTCTGTCTGTGCAGTGATTCCTGATGAATGATGTGAGCATGTGAACGTGAGACAGCAGGTAGCTAACTAATCCCCCCCCATCTCCCCCCGTTTCCTCTCTTCCAGTCGCAGCCTCGGCCGCTTCACATCGGCTTACGACCAAGCTCACTTTAACCCCCACCTCTTCTCGGGCGACGTCGCCTCCCGGGTGGTCGGCCCCTACAACCACTACCTGCAGGGAGCCTCCCTCAACGTGCCGGGCCTGGAGGAGTACCAGAGCGGGGCGGTCGGGACCGGCACCTACGGCCCCCCCTCCGCACTACAGCAGGCCCTGCTGTCCCCGACTCCTTTTGAGTGCCGCCCCGCACAGCATCACGTCACCCCCACCCTGCAGGGCCTCCTGTCGCCCCGCCACTCTCTAACAGGCCACGCCGACCCCAGGCTGCCGCCCCAAGACCTGGCAGCCCTGCTCAAGAGGCAGAGCCCCCGGCCGTGCCCGTCGACCCCCGCCCTGCCCAGCGGCGCGCCCCAAGAGTACGGAGAGATTCTGGTCCTCCGCCAGCTGAACCAGGGGGAAGGCTTGGAGCTGCAGGCGCCGCAGGGCGCCGCCGGGGGCCAACACTACCACCACCTCCTCCAGATCCGGCCCCCCGAGGTCCAGCCGCAGCAGCACCTGGCCCAGGCTCCCTGCCCCGGCTTACCCCACTCGGAGAGCATGGAGGAGGACGAAGCGCCGCCCGGCTACCCCCACCCGCACGAGGGCCTGCTGGCCAAGGCGGCAGACGGTCACGAGCTGCTGGGGCCCCCCCTAGGAGGCACCCCGCCCTACAACTCCCCTACACACCGGCACGGCGGCTACGCGAGGAACGTTCCGCCGGCGAGAGGTAAGGCGTGACACCTGGCGGCTGTTTGCGGTGCTTCCAATCGTTGTCCCGCGGTGCGTTCACCGTCCACGTCTTTCCCGTCAGAATCGGAGCATGTCGACTGCAGGCCCCAAGGGCAGGCCATGGAGGTGCCCGATCACAACGGCGTGGGCTATTCAGCAGCTCCCCAGAGTGACGCCTATAGGTCCCGTGGACAGCTACAGCGCCACCACACCATCCAGACCTGCGACGACGCCTACGTGAGTGAGACGTGAAAGTGTGCGATGTCGGCTGGGTTTGAATTGGAGGATATGGCGCATCAGCTCCTCTTTGTTAACGTTTAATTGGGGGACACGTGAAAGCAGACACAAGTGTGTTTGCGTGACCGAATGAACCAAGTCCTCGAGACTCGTCCCGTTGTTGTCTTGTCTCCGTCTAAAGCGGCCCGCTGACTTTCTGTGCAGGACCAGGCGGAGCCCATGTCGGGAATGAGCCTGCTGGCCGGGAAGGCGCTGAGCTCGGCTCGCATGTCGGACATTCTGAGCCAGACGTCGCTGACGGGAAGCCAGCAGCTGCATCAGCGGGGAGAGTCGGGTCAGTAGCAGAAGCGCCCGATGGCACTTTGAAGAACTTGAAAACAACGCTTGTCCGTATCAGCGAACGATGTGTGTGTGTGTGTGTCTCCTCGTTGCAGCGTGTGACGTGGAGGAGGAGCTCCATGCGGCGGCCTGCTACCCCTCCTCCTGCACCAGTGACATGCTCCTCAGCTACAAGCCCCCCGACCTGCAGTACAGCATGGAGCAGGCCGGTGTTTAGCACAGGTACGCACAAAGAGATCGGCTTCAAATGGGCACCAAGCCGCCTCACAGCCACGTACGACACCGAAGGGAAAGTTAGCGGCACAGAGCAACATTTTAGTACTTTAGATAATATTTATTTAGGGTTTATTGAACTACATAGTAACAATCTTCTTGTGGATTTCTTTCTAAACGTGTTAGAGGGCAGATCTGAACCGGTGCTCCTCTGCCTTTAGGACGGGGAGGGGAGGGTCTCCTGTGAGCAGCGGCCCACGTCAGCCATCCTGAGCAGCATCACGGCAAACCACCGCTCCCTGCCCGACCGGGGGACGCTCCACGTGCATCTGTCAGTCTCCATCTTTCCTCTGGAGGGGCAAGCGAGGGGGAGTGTGGGTGGTTGGAGGGGTCATGGGTGGGGCCTCTAGATTCCAGAGGTCAACGTGCCAGCATTTGGTGCACAGACATCCGGCATTCGTTGCCGCAGGTTGGCTTCTCGGTACCCCTCCAGTCATCGGGGTTCCACCCCCCCCCCCCCCCAACACGCACGCACCACCCTCGCCTGCCGCTACGCCCAACTTTGGCCCTGACCTAGCCCCCACAAACACACTTTGTCTTCTATCAACAGTTCATTATGTGCCTCATCGACGCATTCAAAGCATCCAATAAGTCCAATAACACACAGACACACACACACTGTTGCCACAAACCCAAAGTATTCACATTTGGTGGGTGTACGTGTTTTTGCGAGGACCCCCCCACCCCCTCCTGCTGCCCTGTCGCAGCAGATCATTCCGGAGCGGGCTGAGATCTCGGCAGTGGTGACCCCCCCCACCCCCCTTTGGGCCGGGCGGCAGGTGTTTCGGGTCATGCTGGGCAACAAAAAAGCCGCTCCTTCCAAAGATGGAGCTCAGTGACGTCGCACAGGACAAACCAGCTCTCAGTGTTTCCTTCTCATTTTCCGTATCTTCATTTTCTTTTAGAATTCATTTTTACGGCTAATGTCCATGTAATTATGTTAGTCGATATTGTTACTCTTTTTGTTCTTTCTGTAAAAGAGGTTTTATTATAATGAATTATTATTATCAGTAAAGGACAAACAGTTCTGTGTTGCAAGTCAACATTGTTCTATGATTACTTAAGTAATTCTGCACTTTCGGTTCCAGCTATTCCCCCCCCGCCCCCCCGCGCTCTCCGTCATGCTGTAACCCCATTGACCCGTTGACCTCTTTGCTCCTTCCTCCCTCCCCCTTGTCAGTGGCAGTGCATTGCATTGTGGGTAGTTTTACCAGACATTTGCTCCTTTCCTTGTACAGTGATGCCATGTATAGACGCTATTGCTAATTTCTGTTGCTTTCTTTGATTTTAGATGTTGGGGAGGCTTTTTTATATTGGTATTGTTTATCATTTGAATTTTGGAATATGTGTCTTCAAGCTATTTTCCTTTCTGTTTTTTTTTTTTTTTTTTTAATAAGTCTCAAATTCTCAGCCACCAGCCAGAGAGAGAAGCGGCGTCTTTTTTCTCTTGTAACAAAAAGTTTATTTTTTTTATTTTTTTTTATGACGGAGCCCCTTTACAAGGGGGAGGTAATTTTTTTTGTTTTTGTTAAAAAAAATAAATTTAAATTGGAGTTTGTGGGGCCCGGTGCTCTTTTTGAGGTTGGCCCCGTTTTCTTTCCCCGGATGGGTTTTTTGGGTTTTGGGGGGGGGGGGGGGGGGGTATACAGGGTCAGGCTGTGGTCTTTGGGTCGGATCGGGTGCTACAGAGACTTGATACAAAAAATAAAGGAGGGAATAACTTGTAATATAGCTGACATATCATCCTAAACACATCCCGAGCGTCTGCCCCTCCTATCCGCTGTGCCGGCCCTCTCCTTGCTGAACCGGTTGCTGTGGCAACCGAGGAGAAAACTACAACCAAACCTCCCCACTCTCGCTGCGTGTGTCTCGTGGTCGGACACGCCTCCGAGCCGCACGAAAGGAAGCGTTTCAGGAGGAACCGCTCCAACCGAGACGGCGGCGGCGGCGGAGGAGGAATACATTTCGTTTCCTGGGACCCTCTATTTATTCTCCCATATATATACCCCCTCCTCCCAGCTGCAGCGGTTGACTTTTCACACGCCGCCCACACCCCGAGGCCTTCATCATCATCAGCACCCTCTGCCGACACGCGCTCCCCTTCAGAGCAATAGGAAGCCGCTCTGGTCTCTAAAACACTGAAGTAGGAGTCATGAGATTATTGTTTTTCCGATTTCTTCCTCGGAGCCGGAGCGGACGTCTCTTTGGCCGGAAGGAGCCCGTTTCCGCTCCATCCTCCGGCTCTCAGAACGGGTCCCCCCCATCCCCCCTGCCCCCTCCCCCCTCGCGGATTCACCCCCTTGCAGGACCTGAAGGAGAGGACAAGCCGGGCAGACATTGGGAGACACTGCGTGTCCGTTGTCCCCGCAGCAGGACAGAAACTCTACAGTGAAGCTTGTGTGAATGAGTAATGGTTCACACACACACACACACACACACCTTCAGACTCCCCCCTTTGTTTCCTTCTCAGCTCTTCCACCCCCCCCCCCCCGCTCTGCTCCTGTTTCTTAGGTTCATTGTTTTCTATCAGTTTATTTTTGTCTTTTTTTTTGTTGTTTCGTTTATGTTCATTTCTTGTTGAGTACAAAAATACTAAAGTGCAACAACAATGATTAAAAAGAATATCAACCAAACTGAGATGAATAAATATATATAAATAAAGAACTAATTTAAAAAGGTCACGACTTGTGTCTTTGTGTCGGTGGAGCGTTGTGCTTGTAGTTCGTAATGCTGCTGGACTCATTTTGTGTGTTAGCCGACAATTTCTTTTCACTTCGATTTTGCAATTGAACATTTTAGTTTTTTTTAATGTTTTCACCACTTTCTGGGCTGCCGTTGATTTAGTTCATTCTAAGGTCTCATTTACTGATTAATCTTCAGATTGTTTTTCAAACAACTTACTAGAACGTGGAAAAAACAAGATCGCAGCTCTGAGAAGTCGACTCTCTCGTAAGCCACGAATGCAGAACTTCTATACTGTGTTTATTGTCTTATCATTTAACCCCTCGTTCACCTCCTTCCACAGAGGGAAAAGGATATGAAGTTTGTTCTACATGCGCTGCTCTGTGATGTGTTCAGGAGCCTGGAGAAGGCCGCGCTCTCCGATGTGCGCTGTGTGCTTCTCCCTCTGCAGGCTGCTGCGCTGCGCAGACTCTCTGCAGGATGGACCGACGTGCTCCGACGTGCTCGGCTGATGAGCGATGGATGACAGCAGGACGTGCGTTTGCTCTCCTCCGTCCAAACTAGTGGATTATTAACGTTTGATGTCTTTGCACACGGCGCCTTCTCTTCTTCCAGCCTCGTCGGCCACATCGGCTCTTTTTTTCTTCTGCTCTGCTTACGTCTCTCTCTGTCTTTCTGCATCCTCTGCTCCTTCCTCTTGCAGCCATCATTCTCTCCCTCTCCCCAGCTGCCTCCTCTTCTCTCTCTCTCTCTCACCCCCTCCTCCCTTTCTGCTCTCTCTTCCCGGCTGCCTACGTCAGCCGGCCCCTACCAGCTAGTAAACGCTGCTGCTGTATCCTGCAGAGAGCCGTGTGTGTGTGTGTGTGTGTGTGAGCGCACGCAGATGGGAAAGCGACCGAGTCAGAGAGGGCTGCCTCTCCTCTCTCCGCTGTCACCTCCATCCTTCGCTTCCTCCGCCGCCATGGAGCTCCAGCAGGCTGAATCACCACAGCACCTGCACAAAGGGCCGAGGTAACATTGTGTGTGTGTGTGTGTGTGTGTGTGTGTTGTAGAGGGCCATCTATCCGCATTGAAATTCCTGCATGCAGCCATACAAAGTGCATTGTTTTTGAGTGCGAGTGAAGCCCGGTCCTCCCCACCCAGAGGAGCCGTGTGCCTCCCTCTACGTATGTGCTTGTTGTCCATGAGTGCTCGCATATATCACATGACCCGGATTGCAAGCAGGCACCAGGCACCCCCGCCCCGCCCCCACTCCGTCCCTCCCTCCCTGGACCGTCCCGGGCGATCCAAGCAGGCTTGTGAATGTTTCGTGGTGATGAGGTGAGTCAGAACTGAACATGTGGGGATTATTGAAGCGTGAGAGGCACGTCGGGGTCCGTGGACGCTGCGTTTTTATCGCTGCTTCTCTGATTTGAAAGTTGCGTTTCGGTAGCTTCTGTCTGCTCACGCAGGCCTGCGTCTCCATGATAACCTTCCTCACGTGGAACCGGTTGTATGTTTTCTGCTCCCTCTGGACGACTAATTGCGTTTGTGTGTTTCCCCCCGCGTGCAGGTAGATGTGTGCGCGTGCGCGGTGCTCAGTCGGGCCAGGATGGAGTGCTCGGGCCCCAGGAGGTGGGCGTCGGGCTCTGCTGTCGTGTTCCTTCACACTCTGGCCTTATCCTGCACAGGTGAGCCACACATACGGTTTGACCTTTGGCACCAATGGAATTCATCCAATAATATACCTCCCGGTGTTCGTCATTAGTTGTGCATTAGTGAGCTTTAGAGGTGGTCCTATGACTAATTATTTCATTTAGGCAGCCTTGGGGCTAAGCTAAGCTTAGCTAAGCAGAGCTAACTGGCTAGCTCAGTTGCTTCATATTCAACAGACGGGTGTGAAAGTTGTATCAATCTTCTCTCATAGAACTCTCCTAATAAAAGGAAGATGCTTTATTTATGAAACTATTGCTTTGAGTTGTAATACCTGCGTAGATCAACATATGGATACGTACACTAAGGTATCTTAGCTACAAGTTGAGAGGTTTTAATTTCTAATGTCTCGTACTCACAGGCGCGGTTGAGCCCGCCGCCGAAATTGACGGACATCGCCGAGCCGCTGTGACTCTGCAGGAGAACACGACGCACTGGTTCAACTGCCAATCAGACGGCTGGGACGCCCGCGCCCATCCGTCGCTCACGTGGTACCTGAACGGGGAGCGGCAAAGAGAGCCGCCTCCTCCGCCGCCGCCGCCACACCGCGGCCGGCCGGCCTCGCCGCAGGGAGGTCCTGAGGCCTGGAGGCCGCCGCGGGCCAATCACAACAGCACCTTCCCTCTGCGGGCCAGGAAGTGGGACAGGGAGCTGGTGTGCGTGGCATCGGACCCCAGGACGGGGGAGAGCCGCAATGCCACGGTCACGCTCAACGTCCAGTGTGAGTGCGCCCGCGACGTGCTGCCCGGATTGCCAGCTGTTTTCTGCTGATGCGGTGAATGAAGCGGCTCCTCTCCCTCTCCCCCTCCCTCCTCAGTTCAGCCGGAGATCCTCAGGCTGAACGCCCACTACGGCGAGACCTCGGACCCCGGCCTCTCCTTGGTCCTCTTCGCCTTGGTGCGGTCCAACCCGCCCGCCACCATCACCTTCGTGGACCAGTCCGGGCGGCTGGTGGCCAACACCTCCGATCTGCTCGTCCTGGACTCGCGGCGGCACCCCTGGCTGACCAACCACACGCTGAAGGTCACGCTGGGGAACCTATCGGGGAACATCTCGCTGAACGTCAGCAACAGCGTGGGAACGGTGCAGAGCAACCTCACGCTGGCAGGTCGGTGACGGGGAAGGAGGAAGCCAGACGCTTCCCTTTTATGCTAAGCTAACACTAAAGCTGTCAAACTGTCTCCGGCTCGCTCTGCAGAGTTCCTGCAGTCCCGCGTGGAGGTGCCCATGCTGGGGATAGTGACCGGGGGAGCCATGGCCTTCATGGCCCTCCTCATCCTCAGTCTGATTGTTCTCTGCCTCATGCAGAAAAACAAGAGCAAGTCCTTTGGTGAGAGCTGATTGTGTTTTGTGTGGAAGATCGACAACGTGTGACGCACAACAACCGGTTCAGCTTACCATTCTTGGATTGTGTTTTACAGACGAGCCGGTGGAGATTCTGATGACCAAGAAAAGGTAAATGCAATAACCACAGTTGTGGCAGTGGATCCTTCATTAATAGAACCAGAAAGCAGAGCGAGGAGAAGCTGGATCGACTCTCTTTGACCCCGGAGTGGAGATATAAGTCTCCATTGTTAGTCAGCCGCAAGCGTTTTGTGACATGTGGTCCGACATATACGTTGTCGTCTCGTCAAATCGTTTCCATCTCAGCAGCAGATTGGAGGGAAAACACTGATGAGGTGTTGTGCTCTTATGAGTATTAATACAGGTTTATTACATACGTCTGATCCAAGTTGGATGTCTCTCCTCCATGTTTTCCAAACAGCGAATCAGCCAACCTGAAGACAGAGAAAGTGGATAAGACGTCCATCCCCAGGGAGAACATGTCCGTGCCTTCCAACATGCAGCTCAACGACCTCAACACTCTGAGAAAAGGTGCCACACACCTCACGCTGCACGAGTGATACACGTTTCAGAATCTGCATGTGCCGTAAATAATATAATATATAGATATGGTCTGTTTGGGGCATCAACAGTTCAGGAATATCATTTTCAAGCCTCAAGGAAAAAGTTAATTTCTAAATGTGCTGTATAAAAAAATCTGAGTTGAAGGTCCTACTCCGGGATTTCGTACAGGACTTGAATGCATCACATGGCATTTGGTTGGTCCTTCGCTACCAAAATCCTTGTTTCCGGTGTAGATTCCTAAGTTAATAACCAGTAAAAGGTCGAGCTGGTTTTTACGGCTCTTATTTCCATTTGTCAGACCTTTCTTTGTGCGGCACCACTTCACCTGTCTGAGCTGTTTACCCGTCACGCACTCCTGGCTCGCTTGATGATGTTCTCCTCCCGAACCAGGAGGAGGGACCATAACCCTTGGCCCTCCCTTTAAAACCAATGGTTTTAATGTTCTCTCAGTGTTTATTTGATGCCTCGTCCTGCATATTCTTTTTTTTTTTTAACCCTTAAAAGTGATGAGGGCATTGATGAAGGATACGCGCATACTAACTGCTCTCTATTAAATTACTTTGTTGCGGAACAACATGATGACTTGATGCATGTTCCCCTTTAAACTCATCCACGCATCTCTTGCCCTCTTCTCACGTCCCGTAGCCCGAGAGGCCGCCCAGCAGGCCGCTGTGGGCGAGAAGAAGGACGAGGAGGAGGAGGAAGATCTTTCTCTCGCCTACGCCGCCAGAGGTCAGGCAAATACCCTCCCGTGTTGTTGAATTCGTTGCTTTTCGGTCGTCCGTTGTGGGAACAGCGTGTGCGTGACCTCCCCCCTCCCCCCCCACGTGCCCCCTCTGATCGCTCCCCAGGTTTCGCCCGATATCCCATGGTGGGCTACATCTACAAGGTGAGCAGCACAAGCAGTGAGGAGATCTGGCTCTGACTGACCGCAAAGTCTACACGCGCGCACACACACTCTACACGCATGCAAAACGACTCCCGGGCCGTACGGCTGCACCCAGAGACAGACTGCCGGGTCAGCCAATCACCTTCCAGCTGGACCGGGTTGACCTCTGACTGGGTCTCAACACACTGTTTCGCAAGGTCATCCACCGACTTGAGGTTTGTTGTTTCGCGATAAAAAAACCAAAGCGACGACGTCTTTGTCTGTGGATGAAGTTCTGTGGCCGACGGCCCCTCGAAGCGCTCCGATGCAAAGCGAACGTCAAGATGTTCTGCGTGTTTGGACATGATTTTCCTCCTGTAACCACGGCCGGGGACGTCTCCCTCCCAGGTTCATCCTTCTATGCTCATGTTTTACGCATTATATCCAGATAAGACGGTACATATTCACGGAGTACGCGCTTGTATGTAACAAGTCATGTACTGTATATTTGTATGCATACGTGTATAAAAGAGAAGGCCTAATAAAGGTAATGTTGAATGAACCAGACGCTGCTGTGGTTTTCGCCGACGCTCACCAGGGGGCGCTCTCATGCGCTTTCTAGGATGTGAAGCGCGGAGGCCCCGTCGGGCCGGAAGGGGACGTGGTGCCGAGGACGCGTGCGTCTCCTTGAAAGCGTTGCTGCATTTTGCAAGACAAAAGAATCTGACACAATGCATTTTTTTTTTCTTCTAACAAAAGCAGGTGCATGAGATGGATGAAGTGCGTCTTTACGTTGACTGTGTGTGTGTGTCTGCCAGGTGTCTAGTCTAGGTCACAGGTCGTTGTGGCTTGTGTTCACACAGGAAGCGGAGTTGTGTTGTGGGAGCATCTCTCTGTCTCTCTCTGTCTCTCTCTGCTGAGCTGGAGAGGATTCTGGCTCAGGCGGCGGCACAAACGCTCGCCACGCACTCCGGGAAATCAAACATTAACGTGAACACACGCGGCCGCGTTCACGTCTCTTTGTCTCTTCTCCCCGGGCGGAGTCGCTCCACGCATCAGCAGCAGCCACTAAGCGGGTAGCAGTCGGCGTGGACCAGTCGATTCAGCTCAAATGTGGCTGCTTTGCCTTCACAGATTGCTGCGCGTGTCTTTTGGAGAGAGCGCGAGCACATTTGTTCAGATGTGTCGGTGCATATGAGTAGAATCTAAAGGGGAATAAATACACCGCTTTTTAGATTTTAATATGAAATCCTGTTCACTGCTCAAAAAGAGGAAGAATCTATAATTATCTGCAGCTTTCCTGCTGTCAGTGTACTAAATATTTTACTAGAGTATTCTGACAATATAAATGTATAAATATTCAGAGCATTTCCTCAACGGCTGTAAAAATACTCCACTTTAATGTATTACACTGTTCGCTGATTCATTCTGTTGCATTA